GAAGGGGTGGAAGAGGAGTAAGAGGTGGGTTAGGAGGAGGAAGAGAGGATTGGATATGGAAGAGGTAGATTGGAAGGTACGGTACCCAGGAAACGTACTGTAGGATTAGGAAACGCTAGGTGAGTTGATGGCGCATTCAGGGTGGTATGGAAGCTGGAAAAAAGGATCAGCATGAATCAATCTGTGAAATCATGTGAAGTAAATATACTCTTCTAAGATGCAGATTGCTCATTCATTGCTGGTTCTACTTATTAACTGAGAGAAAATGTTGAAGCTTCCTTGGGCACCTGCTCATTTTTGCTTCCGGTTTCGAGGATGTTTTTGTCGAGGGTATCGGCGGCAAGCCACTTTCCGGGCCGCACACCGACAAACCGCACCAATAGGCATTTGCTGCTTCACGTAGGTTGCTGTTTGGTTGGGTAGCGAATGACAGCAGCGCTTCGGCGAAGCAAGAATCGAGTGCGCGAATTGAACCAAAACCTTGGCTTGGGAGAGCATGGTGCTGTTCTGTAGGCGTTAAATTTCCAGAAACTGGGTCCGCAGAATCTTCGTTGATAGATGGTATTCTGCCTATCAAGGCCTTGGTGATAAGAGAGGTCCTGCCAAACCTGTTCGCGCCAAATTTAACGCTCTCGCCTGCAGAACACCACTAATGCGGCGCACAAATTGAACCGTCTGCAGGCTCGAAGTTGTTGCTTCGCCGGGCAAAATGGTCGCACAACTTGTGCGGTGCTGATTCTACCTCGGGGGCTAGCGTCAAGCCTCAGCGCAGGTTATGCGGGGCAGCAATTTCCGTGCAACGCAACCCGCCTGAATGCGCCCAGAAATTACATGGAAGGCCATGGCGGTGAAATTGGTGCGGCGCCATAACGCCTGCAGAACAACGCCCATATGTTTCGGCATGCATGCACATCAGAAATTTGGACGGCTGCGATCATGCACGGAAAGTGGTGATAGGCAGGAAACAGCTTGCCATGTCAGGAGATGCTCGCAGCGAACGTGGCGAGATCCAGAACCGTCGATTGATTTGGCTGCCGAACCTGGTTCGGGGTCATCCCCACGGGCCGAACTGCTACAGCAGCTGCAAACCCCTGACCACCGACATGAGTACAGAATAATCACAGCGGTTCGATTCGGTAACATACGTTTTCTCCTGGTAAAGAGGTGTTGGAGCGTGCAGGTTGTGGCGTGCTGGATGAGGGTGGCAAAATGATCTGTTGCTTTCTCCTCAGGTGCTGCAATTGTGCTGATCATCCAAGCGTTAAGTGCGCGGGCCATGAGACGGAATCTCACAGTGCTTACGTGGTCGAATCGAGGACTGAAATCAGCGGTTCTCACTCAAGCGCCTGGCGCTATATGTGCCGAAATACTTTCTAGAATGACTGAAAACCTCCATGGTGTTGTTGTCAACAATCTCTCGTCCAAGTCCAACTCCCTCAATTCACCCTTCGCTCGAGGTTAGTGGAGTCGAATTCGCAACGATGGCGTGGATTCGCTGGCAAATTCTAGCAACGCTCGCCGTTCTGTTTATCGCGCAGAGCGCGGACGCAGCCGGGCTGATCCCGGGCTTTCCGATCCCGATCCCCGGCGTCGGAACCGGCGTGTGCACATGGGATCAGTTCGTGGGCGAAATGAAGAAGCTTCAGCGAACTTTGGCAAAAAATCCTATCCGTTACGGTGGCATGGCCATCGCGCTGAAACAAGGACTGAAGAAAATGCGTGAGTGCTCGTGTAGTTTGGTCAAAAGGATGGTCCGAGTCGCGTTGACGCCGGTTCGGGATGAAAGCCCAGCATAGGTGTTTCATTGACAGGCGAGCTTTTTAATTACCCTAACTCTTTCCTTTTCTCCTCCTACACTCACACCCTTTGCTCTTCCCCGTCTCCCACATTCCTCTCCCCCCCCCCCCCCCCCCCCCCTTCTTTATCTTCATTCCCCTTCCTTAACAGAAAAGAATGCTCCAAGCGAATTGCTCCCTGCGGTCACCATTCTCGTTCCAACAAATCGCGCTCTTCTCGCCGCGAGCCTGAACCCCGCTTTCCTGATCGACCTCATTCAAAACAAGAAGAAGGTACAGGGTATCGCCAAGGTGAACGTGCTCGTCGGCGAATACGACTACAATACATTGAAGTCTACACCCAAGGGGCAAGGAATACAAACGGCGGATTCGAAAAAGAAGGTCGCGCGATACAAGGGCCAGGATAGCCCGATGACGCAAGGCACGGGAATGACGCTAGGCGTTGTCGGGGCGAAGGGACGAGCGGAGGTTATGAATAGGACCTGTTTAGCGGTAATTGCGTTGTTGCGCAAGGAATCAGCAGACTGCTCCAGCCATGAACGCAGCCAATTTTTTCTGCTCAGCTCAAGGTTTGATAATGAGGGACCAAGGCTTTTGCTGGGTGTACAGAGAGAATGAAGCTGCTGTGGATCTGTTTGTGAACGATCAACGGCTGCTGTGAACCGACTGGGGATACAGAGATGCGCAAGAAACATATATTCCGTGTTTCCCCGAAATGTAACATATATTCCGTGAATTTTAAGAAATGTAAAAACCGTTCTTCCATAATCTGTATATATAGGTCTACTCTTGTAATGCGCTGACAGTCCCCGCCTATAGGGAGAATTTTTGGAAGAAACACCAGCTGGCACTCCGCACCCAGCCACCCAGCCACGAACTACAGAGTCAAATTGGGGGAGTAGAAAATGGCACATGTTAGGGCGTGTTCTTACCTCCGTGTCATACAGGCCTCGTGTCATCCGAAATTGTGATATTTAATCGAAAAAGACAAAGCTCGAAACACGGGTTTTTCGATTGGCTCCCACAATTTCGGATGACACAAATACGGAAGGAAACGAATCTAGGAATACGCCCTACAGTGTAGCCCGCCGTGTATGAACAGTCAACTAGGGCAACCGGCAGGAAAACTAGAACCCGCATAGTCAACTCTAATCCGAATCGCCTCCGTTTTCTATTGGGTACATAGTGCATTCTGCCCCTGCCCTAATCTACTATTTATCAAACTCAGCTCAAGAGTGCCCGACTCCTTACGGCACTCACTCCTTGCTCCTGAGTCCTGAGCTACTCCTGACGCGTTGGTGTTTTCGTAAAAGAAAGAAAGTCAACGCGGATCTGTTGTAAGCTCGTAAGGCCTCTAACAGTCGCAGGGTGGTATATATAAATAGGTGAAAGCCCATGATGCGTCACTTCACTTTCCCGCGTTCCATCTTCTACTACCTTCGACGGACCAACCAAACCCATCTGTCAGATTCGTCGTCAGCAGCCTCGAGTTTTCGATCATGATTTCGAATCGCGTTCGTATTTTCGCAGCGCTCGCAGTTTTTCTCATCGGGCAGACCGTTGCCGCAGCCGTCGTAAGTCCAGGCTTCCCGTTCCCCGACGTCGGATGCACGTGGCGACAGTTCGTCGGCGACCTGAAGAAGCTTCAACGAACTTTGGCGAAACGACCAACGCGTTACGACGGCATGGCTATTGCGATGAGCAAAGGGCTTGAATACAAGGGTCAGTGCTCGTTCATGCAGTCTGGACAAAGGATGGAATACAAGAGCCTCCTGTACGGCTCCATGCCACTTGAGTGCGGTTGAAGAAAGGGCTAGAATACAAGGGTCAGTGGTGCTCGTTCATGCAAACTGGACAACGGATAGTAGTACAGGAGGCAGTGGCGATTTCTGAGTCGACCCTAAAACGAAGGTTGCGCTTTCATTCAGTCTTTTGAACAGATAATGTTAGTAGTACAAGGAGGCAGGGGGGTTGAGCTGGGTTCTGAGTCGACTCAAGCTCCCTCATGCAGTATATTTTTTACTTTTTGAGACAAGTGACATTCGAGAAAGATGGACTTCTGGTATCGTCTCACCCCCTTCTCCCTTCCCCCTTCTCCCTTCCCCTTCTCCCTTCCCCCTTGCCCACACACCCTGCTCCCCCTCCCCCATCCTCCCTCCCACAACCCCGCCTCCCCCTCAACCCCCATTCCCCCCTCTCTTCCTGCGCTTCCCCCTTGCCTTTTCCCAACAGAAAAGGACGCTCCTAGCAAGTTGCCTCCCGCGGTAACCATTCTCGTTCCAACCAATCGCGCGCTTGTCAACGCGAGCATCAACCCCGCGATTCTAATGCAACTAATTTGGAAGACGAAAAAGGTTCAGGATATCGCAATGGTTAATGTGCTCTTCGACAATTATGACTACGTTACTTTGAAAGCGCAACCCAAGGGTAAAGGGTTACCAACGGCGGATCCGAAAAAGAAAGTCGTGGTTTACAACCCGCTGATCAGGGCCCGCGACTGGTGCTAGGCGTGCTGGGGGGGAAGTCACGAACGGAGATCGTAAATAAGGACCTGTTTCGCGGTAGTTGCGTGGCTGCGCATGGAACCAGCAGCGTGCTGCACCCGTGAATGCCGGCAACTTATGCGTTCGGTTCCAAGCCTAGGGGTTGATCAGAATACGGAGGCTTTAGCTGGCAATAAAGCTCCACAAGTTATTGTGAGAGCTTGAGAATGGGACCTGTGTTTAGGTGGAACTGTAGCCGCCTCCTAGATCGAGATTTGAGAAGCAGATAGGTATGTTGCGGGATAGGTGGTGGCAGAGATCAGCAACTGCAGGTCGCGGAATCATCTGGGATTCCAGCGATACTCATAGTTTTGATAATTCCGGCTCTGTACAAAGTGAATTCTGCGGGAATTGATAATGAAATCTGTTGCAACACAGGATAAAAACTACTTCTAATCAGAGGGTGGTCCAAATTTGTTCACAGCAATCCCATCACAAATTGCACCTGTGCAGGTTATGTTGTGTCCTGAGAGAAACTACGAAATCCAAAGTTATGTAAAACACCCTGAAATACAAAACACAAACACAATTAATGTCTCATGCTGCATCGCTCAAACAGAGGACTCTAGCTATTGAAGAAAATGATAAGCTGTTAGCAAGAAAACAACGGAAATCAGCTGCACCATGTGGTGCAAAAGGGTGGTCAGTGAGAAAAACATACCAGGGCATCCTTTATTCCATAAGCGATACAGTAGTGTTCCTGTGCGTACATAAAAGGGGTTGATCCTTGGGATTGAATCAGTGCTAGTACGGTAGAACCGAAATGAAGGTGGAATTTGCCTCAGAAGTATACGCCTAGGAGACCAACGGCTTATGAGTTGTAACATGAAATGGCAAAAGTAAGCAGCGATGAAGCCTACCTGCATGAGATGCCACTCCTCAAACTCATCGAATATCTCCAGTGGTTCGATTCTGGAACGACAAGAACAAGGGAACATGAACGAGATGTGAAACCAGACATGAATCGCAATGTGAAACGCGATGTGAAACGCAATCTGCAACGCAATGTGAAACGAGATGTGAAGCAAGAGTTGGGACGAGGGAGTTGAGACTGAGACCAGGGAGTTGAGACAAGGGAGACCGAGACGAGGGAGTCAAAACATGTAAACGGAACCAGGATGGGAGAGTAGGAGAGAAGATGTCAATGATGGAAAGTGGCAACAACATGGGTTCTCTGTAGGAAATTTTGGTACAGAGGTACAAGCGAATGGGGTTTACATGGTCCAATTAAGAGCGAAACAAAACTCGTTAGAAATAACCATGGAATGGAATGGCACGTGCAGTGCAGTGTGTTGCCATGCGGCGCGGTGCAGTGCGGTGCGGTGTAGTAAAGTGCTGTGTAGTGCACTGCGTGCCATGAAGTGCAGTGCGATACTCACTTTCTGACGAGCTGTGGATCGATGTGGTGTGAGTATATCATGTCCATATCCACTGCATTGCTTCTCTGCAAAGTCACCGCACCAGACGAAGAAAAAACAGTCTCTCATTTAATGCCAAACGGATAAAGCAGTGCAAGTGCCTCAAGTATCGATGTGGTGTGAGTATATCACGTCCATGTCCACTGCCTTGCTTCTCTGCACAACCACATATATGAACCAAACAAGATAAAAAAAAAAACAAACAAACAACAGTACCTTCAAATCATGAAGCTGGTACCACTACATCCCTGAAGCACAGCGCTTCGACCATGGAACACAAGACTGAGACCATGAAACCGAAAGGCCTTACCTCAAAGCCACCGTCGAGAAATCTCTTCTCCTTTGCTTCTAGTGTTGGTGTGGCTCTGATACCAAGCAGAGGGCAGCCCCGAGCCTGACAAGCAGCCGGAGGTGCAGCAAGGTGAAGAACAGTGAAGTGAGGTGAGGAGCAGTGTGGAGCAGTGTGGAGCAGTGAGCGATGGTGAGGAACAGTGAGGAACATTGAGGAGCAGTGTGGAGCAGTGATATATGTGGTGATGCATGGTACATGAGGGGTAGCAAGTGGTATACAGCAAGGAGAGGGCAGCCCCGACCAGAAAGGCAGCTGGAGGTGCAGTGTGGTGAGAAGTGATGAGGAACAGTGAGGGGTGTTGACATGAGGTGCATGGAATATGAGGTGTACAAAAGTGGTGCACAGGGAAGGGCAGCTAGAGCCGTCTATATCCCCGCAACAGGGAAGTGGTGCAACACTTTCTAATAATAGCAGCCCCGCAGCCACACCCACCTCCAGGTTTTGGATGATCTGCTGCCCAAAAGCATCACCCGGGCGGATCCGCTCGTAGAGGACAAAACACTTCACACAGCAGTTCCTTGCCTTATCGTGCTTTCTATATCTGGCAGTAGTTTCCATGTATAACAGCCACCCATCCGCCCACCCACCTCCAGGTTTTGGATCATCTGCTGCCCGAAAGCATCATCGGGCCGGATCTGCTCGTAGACGACAAACGCATTACACAGCACCACTGCCTTGCCTTCTATAGCTTTATATATCAAGCAAAACTTTCTAAAATTAGCAACTAGTAGCCAGTGAGTGGCTCACCTCCAGGTTTTGGATCATCTGCTGCCCAAATGCATCATCGGGGCGGATCTGCTCGTAGACGACAAACATGTCACACAGGAGTGCCCTGCCTTCTAGAGCTTTCTATATCCAGCAACACTTTCCAAAATGAGCAACCAGTATCCAGTGAGTGGCTCACCTCCAGGTTTTGGATCATCTGCTGCCCGAATGCATCGTCGGGGCGGATCTGCTCGTAGACGACAAACGCCGCCGTGCCAAACTTCTCTGCCGCCCACGCCACGAGCCTGTGGCTGCTGGGCGCGTCCATGTAGATGAGTACACACTCGCAGAGGAATAACGTTGCTGTGCTGTTAGCAGGGGGGTGGGTGGGAAGGGGGGATGCGAGTGGAATTTGAAACAGTGCCTAGGACCACGCCACGAGCCTGTGGCTGCTGGGCGCGTCCATGTGGATCAGCACGCACTCACAGAGGAGCAGCGTCGCTGTGCTGTTAGCAGGGGGGAAGAGTGGGGATGGACAAAGGATGGGGACTAGAAGGTTGCCTACGAGAGAGGTTTTCTGCTGCTGGGCGCGTCCATGTAGATCAGCACGCACTCGCAGAGGAATAACGTTGCTGTGCTGCGATGTGGTGCACGGGGGGAAATTGAAAGGGATTAGCAACTGACAGTAAGGCTCGCAGACCCCACCCAATGAGTTTGTGGCTGCTGGGTGCGTCCATGTAGATCAGCACACACTCGCAGAGGAATAGCGTTGCTGTGCTTTTTGTCCGCTCGTCCGCTCATTCCTCTCCATCCCTCGGTGCAGCTAATCGAGCGCCTTCTTGCAGCTTCTCAGTGCCTCTCAAATCTGTATGCACCTTTTTGTCCGCTCGTTCCTCTCCATCCCTCCCCCCACTCCCCTCACTCATTTGGGCACACCCTCGGCTCCAGCTGCAGCAAAGCAAGCGCCTCGTGCAATAACCAGTGACTCTCAAACCACATGTACCCTCCCCTCCCCCCCTCACTACCCTACTCCACCCCTCTCCATTCCTCGCCAACCCTCTCCAACCCTCCCCACCGCTCCCTCAGTTCCCCTCACTCACTTGGTCCCAAAATCGGCTCCAGCTGCTGCAAGCGCCTCGTTTAGTTTATCAGTGTCTCTCAAATCGGCTGACACGAGGGAGTAGCCATTTGAGGAGCGCAGCCCGGCACCCTCTGGATAATGGGAGGACGGGTGGGAGAAAGTGGGGTGGAGGGAAAGAAGGGAGGAGAGAGCAGCAGCTTCTCAGCGTCTCTCAGATCAGCAGACACTGGGGAATTACCATTCCAAGAGTGCACCATTCCAAGAGCGCACCATTCCATGAGTGCACCATTCCAAGAGTGCACATCGACAATCCAATCTTCGGTGGTTTGTAATTGACAAAGGTGGTCTGTATGGAGAACGATCGGAGACTAAGGTCATGCCAAGCTCGCAAAACTCCGGGGAGAAATGAAAAACAGGCAGGTCAGTGCTATGCTCAGCGTACATATTTAATGGAGTGACGTCTGGGCCTAGGCACAGACAGGGCACAGCAGGGCACAGCAGGGCACAGCAGGGCACAGCAGGGCACAGCAGTGCACAGCAGGGCACAGCAGGGCACAGCAGGGCACAGCAGGGCACAGCAGTGCACAGCAGGGCACAGACAGGGCACAGCAGGGCACAGCAGGGCACAGCAGGGCACAGCAGGGCACAGACAGGGCACAGCAGTGCACAGCAGGGCACAGCAGGGCACAGCGGAGCGCAGCGAGCAGAGCACCCGTACCTAATGGACTGACGTCTGGTCCCAGGCATGCTGCTAGCTCTGGCTTGGCGTTGATTATGTCGGCTTTCTTTGCTACCACCTGGCATGGTGTGGGAGGATCAGGGCCACAGAGGGACGGTGGGAGGGGAGGGAGACAGCACGAGGGCACGTGAACGTCTGGGCCCAGGCATGCTGCTAGCTCTGGCTTGGCATTCATTATAGCTGCCTTTTTGGCGACCACCTGGTGGCGTGGTGGGGGTTGAGAGCGGTGGTGTGCGGTGAGAGGGGGATGGCATGGTGGGATGGCTTGGGGTGTGTGGGGGGCATGCCATGTTGCATGGCCTTCTTAGCAACAATCTGGCCTTGCATGGAACGAGTGGTGGTGTGTGTGTGTGGTGAGAGTTTTGAGAAGTCTCAAAACTTCACTCTTATCACATGCCATGTTGCATGGCCTTCTTAGTGACAATCTGGCCTTGCATGTAACGAGTGGTGGTGTGTGTGTTTACTGTGGTGAGAGCAACGGAGGGACGGGGGGGAAGGCATGGCATGGCAGCATGGCTTGGAGTGTGTGTGTTTACTGTGGTGAGAACAACGGCTTTTGAGGCGCCTCAAAGCATGATGGCATGATGATATGGCATGGTGGCATGGTGGCGTGGTGGCATGGTGGCGTGGTGGCATGGTGGCATGGTAGCGTGGTGGCATGGTAGCCCCTCTTTCAAGTGCTCACCTCTTGAAAATCCACTTCAATGAACCTATGGGGGGCTCTGCCCTCTGTCTGCCTAATTCAAGTGACAAACTCTTGAAAGTCCACCTCGATGAAGCTAAAAGGGGCTCTGCCCTGCCCAAGTCAAGTGCTCACCTCTTGAAAATCCACTTTTGAGGCGCCTCGAAACTCACCTCTTGAAAATCCACTTTTGAGGCGCCTCGAAACTCACCTCTTGAAAATCCACTTCGATGAACCTATGGGGGGCTTTGCCCTCTGTCTGCCATCACAAAAAGACGCATGGTGGCAGGAAAGGGCCAACAGCACAAGCAGCAGAGAGTGGAAAAGAGTCACCAGTCAAGTTTGTGATAAGTCGAGTTTTGAGTCGACTCAAAACTCGACTTATCACGACGCATGGCGGCAGGAAAGGGCAGATCGCAGCACAAGCAGCAGAGAGTGAGAAAGAGTCACCAGTCAAGTTTTGAGACGTCCCAAGAAACAACAACAAACACGAATGCAGCAGGGATCAAAACAACAGGTGACAGAAAAGTTTCATACATGTGCTCTCCCTTGCCCCGCCCCCTTGCCCTTCACTTCACTCACCCCCCCACCCCCCCCCCCCCCCCCCTCCCCTTCCTCTCGCCCCTTGCACTCCCTGGAAAGACATAGAGCGCGCACCTGGAATCTAAAGAAGAGGGTGTGTCGAATCCTGCTCCCAGGGAGATGATCTGTAGGGCTACATCCGATCCCCCTGTCGACTCGCTTGACCCGTTTGACTTCTCATGATCATTAGGACACAGAGCACGCACCTGGAGTCGGAAGAATAGGGTGTCGAATCCTGCTCCCAAGGAGATAATCTGCAGAGTCACATCCGTCCCCCCTGTTGACTTTCTTGACTCCCCTTGACTTTCTTGATCACTACTAGGGGTCTGGGCCCTGTCCTCGTTATGAGCTGATCCGTTAACGGAGAGGAACTGGTCGACGAGCTGCTGCAGAGCAGCCCAGCGGGCGAAGTAGCCTCGGTGGATGACAGGGGACCGCCTGGCCGGGCGGCGAACAAAGAGCTTCACGAAAGGGTCCTGGAAGTAACCCTTGGTCACGCATGAACTGATGGGGGAGAGGAATAAGGAAGAGATGATGGGGAAAGAGGAAAGGAAACGGTGGGTTTGAGGTGAGATGGTGGAGAAGAAGGGAGGTGTTTGTTCAGATCAGACTGCAAAGCAGCCCGGCGGGCGAAGAAATTCCGGTGGATAATGATTGGAGAGAGATCGCATGGCAGGCCGGCGAACAAGGGCCTTCAAAGAGGGTCCTAGAAGTTACTAGTAGCTGTTGGGGTCTCGCAGGGGACGTAAGATGGGTGAGGAGGTGGGGAGAGAGAGGAGAGAAGGGAAAGGGGTGAAGGGGGATGGTGCAAGTGAGTGAGGGGAAAGGGGAAGGCCGCGTCTACAATATGGAAGTAGCCTTTGGCGATGCAGGAACTGTTGGAGGAGCCTTTGGAGGGGTAACCGGGGATCTACTTTTGAGAAATTTTGAGGCGCCTTAAAAGTACTCAACAGGGGCGTTTGGAGGGGTAACCGGGGGTTTCATTTTTAGTCGACTCAAAATTCAGCTCCAATGTGGAAGTAGCCTTTAACGACGCAGGAGCTGTCGGGGGGGACCCCGGGGGTCTCATGATTAATCTATCACAGACGGCCTTGGCGTTTAGTAGCCTGGACCCCCTTGGCTATCGTCGTCTCCCGTCGCCTGAACATCTCGATCCAGGCCATGACGTCGCAATCCCAGTACCCTGACGTCACAGCCCCAGGGCCTTGCAGTTGACCCGCTTCGGACAATGCCCACACTTTTCTGACGGTCGGGTCGTCGTTTCGTTTTGCTGCACGTACTTTTCGTGAAAATACCGACGGTACTTCACTTACGGCTCGTATCATATCATATCACAGGCTCCGGACAATGCACGCAGTCGTCTCGGTTCCTGCTCGTACGAATCATTTCATATCACCCGCTACAGACCATACTCACAGCTTACTGACGGTCGCGTCGTCGTTCGTCGCTTGAACGTACTTCTCGTTACCCGCCATTAGCACCCAGCGCTGTACGAACAAGTGATTTCTGTCGCACGCACCAGATCCCAACAATGTTCTGTGGGAAGTCTCCGCACCGTAATACCAAGACGGCGGAGATTTCTAGACCGTGAAACAACAGAAGGCGAATCCTGGCGATTCCAGGCGAATCCTGGCGATTCCAGGCGAATCCTGGCGATTCCAGGCGAATCCTGGCGATTCCAAGCGAATCCTAGTGAGGGCTGGCTGGCTGGCACACGGCATCCCAGTGCCGGAATCGCGGAGAGAGATTCCCCGGCAGACCCTGCATACGCCCTATTGAATGATCTGTCTATTGAACTACAGTTCTGATTCTATTTTGCTTTCCAAACTAAGAGAGTATGGTCGAAGTGTGGACTTCATTGAATTTGGACTGGACACCTCTCTTCTCCATCACATCAGCCCTCCTTCATCGTTTCTTTTCCTCGTCTTCAGGCTCATGCCTGGAAATGTTTCATCCCCAACATACATCAGCTTCTAAGACCTGTCAAGCCAACCAAGCTTGGATCCATTAATTATCTACCAACATGTACCATACATTAAAACGTGATGCTACGTGCTCAATATTCCCACTATTCAATTCCCGAGGCTGTTCGGGCTCTTGAATACTCTTACTCGCCCCGTTTCATTCAACAGGCTCCTTGCTTCCTTCGACAGAAATTTCATTCTCATCTGGACCCTCTCCTTACATATCCAGTCAGATTTTTCCAATTTTCAATCTATCAGATGGTGCTCGCAGTCCCCGCTCCCTCCTCAAGCTTCCGCCACTCCCTCTAAAATCTCCTTCCTCTCCTCTTCAGCACTTTCATTCTCGTCATAACCCTCGCCTTCAACATAGCCACTCAATGTAAACCAATCTACCTCAGGCTCCTCCATCCAGCTCTCAGCCCGCTCTCTCCCTCCTCAAGCTTCTGCCACTCCCTTTCAAGTCTCCCTACTTTCCTCTGCAGCAGTCTCAGTGCTTTCATTCTCCTCATACCCCTCTCCTTCAACATATCTATCCACTCAACTTCAACCAATCCTCCTCGGGCTCCTCCATCCTCCTTGCAGCCTGCTTTCCCCTCCCTCCTCAAGCTTCTGCCGCTCCCTCTGAGATTTCCTTCCTCTCCCATTCAGCCGTCCCATCATCATAACCCTCGCCTTCACCATAGCCACTCAGTTTAAGCCAATCCTCCTCAGGCTCCTCCATGCTGCTTGCAGCCCGCTCTTTCCCTCCTCAAGCTTCTGCCACTCCCTTTCAAGTTTCCCTACTTTCCTCTGCTGCTGTCTCAGCAGTTTCATTCTCATCATAACCCTCTCCTTCAACATAGCCACTCAACTTAAGCCAATCCTCCTCAGGATCCTCCATCCTGCTCTCAGCCCGCTCTCTCCACTCCCTTTCAAGTCTCCCTACTTTCCTCTGTTGCAGTCTCAGCAGTTTCATTCTCCTCATAACCCTCGCCTTCAACATAGCCACTTAATTTCAGCCAATCCTCCTCAGGCTCCTCCATGCTGTTTGCAGCCTGCTTTCGCCGCAGCAAGGCGTAGGAGCCATACTTGACGAGCCTCTCGGACAGGCCCGGGATGAAGAAGGCTCGGTAGAGAGCCGGGGAGCGCTGGGCGTCCACAAACGGGAGGGACGCCAACACCTGTGAGACAAGGGAGAGCGTGGAGAGGGAGGAAGTAGTGAGGGAGGAGGTAAAGAGGGAGGAAAGGGAGAGAATAGAGAACAGAGGGTGAGGAAGGGGCAATGGTCGTTGTCAGTTTTACAAAATAAATAAAAAAATAAAAATAATAATAATAATAACAAAAGCAGGCATTTGCTCCTTCCAGGATGCTTCCTCTCTCCCCTGCCACTATGCTTAAACTCCATACCTGTCGAACCGCAAGGCACCCTTGCACTGCCAATCCCTCTCAAGACCCCACGCCCACGAATCCCAAACTACTCACCTCCCATTCGTTCTCATCATGACTTGACACATCTCACAACTACCACGCAGCCATGCTGCCTCTCTCTAGAATCTCTACTGTTCAGCCGTTCCAAACATTCACCTCCCATTCGTCCTCGTCGTGCCCTCGCAGGGCGTCTGCTTTTTCCAGGATGCTTCCTCTCTCCCCTGTCATGCTGACGTGGCGCGAGTTGTCCAGCTCGACCAGATAGTCGCACAGAGACTCGTCCAGCTGGCGTGACGCAGTGTGCAGGTGTGTGTGTGTGTGTGTGTGTGTGTGTTGGGGTGGGGAGAGTAAAGGGGTGAAAAGGAAGGGGACAAGCATATCAGAGGGAGCCATGATATGGCAGGCAACTCAACCAGACAGTCGCACAGAGACCCGTCCAGCTGGCGTGATCCCATGTGCAGGGAAAGGGAGGGGCGGCAGAAGGGATGGAAGGGGAACATTGGGTGCAAGAGAAGGAGACGAGCACACGGCAGGGAGAAGGGGAGACGAGGAACGGGGAGTCTCTGTGCGGCAGGTAGGCAAAATCAACCAGATAGCCGCACAGAGACTCGTCCAGCTGGCGTGATCCCATGTGCAGGGAAAGGGAGAAGGGGAGATGGGAACGGGGGGGTGATCGTGGAAACATTGGAAGCAGGGGAAGGTGACAAGAAGATGGCTCGGGGGAACAACTTCTCCTCTCAACCAGACAGTCGCACAGAGACTCGACCAGCTGGCGCGACAGCGGTGCCAGGGAGGGAGGGGCACGGAGGGGTAAGAGGCGGAGAGAGAGGTTGGTTGGATCCAGGGTGAAGGGATGGAGGGATAGGTGCACAGAGTTGTGCCGCGGCACAGCTCAACCAGATGGTCGCACAGAGACAAATCTGTCCAGCTGGCGTGATCCCACGTGCAGTGCCAGGGAGAAGGGATGGAGGGATACGTACTGAGAGTTGTGCCGCGGCACAGTTCAACCAGATAGTTGCACAGAGACAAATCTGTCCAGCTGGTTTTGAGACATTATGTCTCAAAACCGCCACTCTTTCACATGATAGTTGCTCGCACACAGACATTCGTCCAGCTGGCGTGACAGCGGTGCCAGGGAGGGGCGAGAGGGGGGCGAGGTTGGAGGCAAGGAAAGGGGACGAGCAGTCGGGATGGAGCCTCGCTTGAATTTCCAGAAGGCCCGACTCAACACCAGCTTTCCCCGTCTCACCGATTGTTCGGGCGTGGCTTGGTACTTGTCATTGAAGTACGCAGGAGCAGATTCAGCCTCCCCTGCTTCCGGGTCGAAAGGGATGGGCATGGCAGCAGGCCCTTAAAGCCATCGCAAGCCCATTCCAAAGGGAGGAATCTCAAAGCCAACCACTCACGAATTGCTCGGGTGTGGCTTGGTTTTTGTCGTTGAAGTACGAGGGAGCAGACTCCGGGCCGCCTTGTTCCGGGTCAAAAGGGATGGGCAGCAGCCTTGTCACCCAACCTCCTAGCAAGCCACCACACCTCAAGACCATGAAACCACCAACTCACGAATTGCTCGGTGTCGGAGATACAGCTCTACCCTCATCATCTGCCTTAGTCCTCATGCTCTTCGTCCCTTAGCTCCTTCGGTTGCCTCAGCCACTCTCACCTCTAAGGTCCTCCCTGAGTGGTGTGCCACCTGCCTGCTCTGGTAAGGTGACAATAGTCCACTATACGAAAGGATAACAACCAGAAAGCATCAGAGGTGTGTGTGAGAGTGAACTTACCTGACCCTGGCTCGAACCGTGCATTTCTCAATGTGCGGCTCGAGCCTGGGTTGGTTCGTTCTCATTGGTTGCAAGGTTTTCACCCAAGGTGCTCTCCTACCAACTTCGCGTCAATTTCCCAGCTCCCACCTACCTATCCTCGAATTTGCAAACACAACATAGCTACACCTCCACTACACCACCATGATTCTGGCACCTTATATGCACAACCGTGCATATTCGGTGACATCGGGCGTGGCTTGGTTTTTGTCGTTGAAGTACGGGGGAGCAGACTCCATGCCGCCTTGTTCCGGGTCAAAAGGGATGGGCAGCAGCCTTGTCACCCAACCTCCTAGCAAGCCACCACACCTCAAGACCATGAAACCACCAACTCACGAATTGCTCGGGTGTGGCTTGGTTTTTGTCGTTGAAGTACGAGGGAGCAGACTCCGTGCCGCCTTGTTCCGGGTCAAAAGGGATGGGCAGCAGCCTTGTCACCCAACCTCCTAGCAAGCCACCACACCTCAAGACCATGAAACCACCAACTCACGAATTGCTCGGGTGTGGCTTGGTTTTTGTCGTTGAAGTACGAGGGAGCAGACTCCGTGCCGCCTTGTTCCGGGTCAAAAGGGATGGGCAGCAGGCCCTTAAAGCCATCATCGATAAAAGCAGCTCGGTGGAGGGGCGAGGGGAGGAGGAAGGAGGTGGGGAAGCGATGCCACTCCATGCCATAACACACCGTGACCACTGTAAGAACGGGTGGGTGGGGGAGTGGAAGGGTGGGGGGCACATAAAGGAAAAACGTGGGTGAAGGACACGGTGGGGTGGAGGGAAATTTGGGTGAAAACTGTGGGGGATGGGCAGCATGCACTTAAAGCCATCGTCGATGAAGGCAGCTCGGTGGAGGGGCGAGGGGAGGAGGAAGGAGGTGGGGAAGCGATGCCACTCCATGCCATAGCACACCGTGACCACTGCGGGGAATGAGGGAAGGGAGGGGAGGGGTGGGCGGGTGGGGCCGTGGGGGGAAGTGGAGGGGAGATGGAAGGAGGGGGAATCGCAACCGCAACTGTGTAAGGAGCACATCTCTGGGTTGTAGGGTGAGAGCTGGGGTTATGAGAAAGGATGGGTGGAAGGTTGAAGGGGATGGGCAGCAGGCCCTTAAAGCCATCGTCGATGAAAGCGGCTCTCGGTGGAGGGGGGATGGGAGGAGGAAGGAGGTGGCGAAGCGATGCCACTCCATGCCATAGCACACCGTGACCACTGCGGGGAATGAGGGAAGAAAAAGGAGGAGGGGGGGTTGGGTCCAGGAGGGGGAAATGGGTTGTGGGAGAAGGGGGGAATGGAAGGATGGCAATTGCTGCAAAGATGTGATCCTTTCATCTCAGGATGGGTTGGGTGACAGTTGCGGTTGTGGGAAAGGTGGGGGGACACTAGGAACTTACCATCTTCATTCGCTTCATCTACTGCCGGCAGGTGCTCCAGAATGTGCATGGGGGCGGAGTAGAAGCGGAGCAGAGCAGTAGAGCGAGCATAGGAGAGAGCGATGATGAGGCCGAGCAAGGCTGGGCGCACCCACTTGGCTGCCTGTGAGTGGAACGAGTGGTGAAGCCAGGGAATGCGAGGGGAATGGAGGGGAGGAATGATGATCCAGCAGCACGATGGGGCAGAAACGGAGCAGAGCAGTGGAGCGAGCGTAGGAGAGAGCGATGATTAGGCCGGGTAAGCCCGGGCGCACCCATTACACATTTAGCTGCCTGTGTGAATGGAACGAGAGGTGGAGGGGAGGGTCACAGGAGGGGGGACAAGGAATTGGGAGAGGATCGGAGGGGAGGGGAAGAAGGGGTAAGCCCCATTTGTTGCATCTGCACCATGAGGCCAAGGTGTGAGGCGAGCACAGGAGAGGGTGAGAATCTGGGTTGCAGAAGACGCAGCGTCTAGACGCAGCGTCTAGACGCAGGACGCAGGATGCACTCTCAGACGCAAGACGCATGGGGAGTTTTTTTTTGGGCTGATCGATTTTTTTTTTCCCCCCCGCGCGAATTTGACATTCGCCATTTCGACGCGAATGTCAAAATCGCAAAATCCCCCCCCGCCCAAACTAATTCGACCGTCAAAAACAGCCCACAACCCTAAAACGAAACCCCCCCCTACCCAAATTTGCGCCACATCCTACTCAACCGCACATCATCTACTCAACCCAACCAAAGTTGTTAACCACCAAGAGGATATAGGAGCACAAACCGTTCATTTGTGCTCCTCCACTTTAGTTCAACCCAATTCTCCTTGGTAAACCCTTAGGGTTTTAGTTCTTACCTCACCTAAATTATGGCTTCTCCTAGTTCTTCCTCCTCCTCTGCTACCAAGCATGAAGATGTCGTCGGCGAGGGTAGCTCCTCATGCATTTCTAAGGAGATGTGCGCGAAGAAGTCGCGATTCCCCGAGCACCCCATTTATAAGCACTACTACTTTACCGATCCTGAGAAAAGGGGGAGCAAGTGGAGTGCCTTTTTTGCCACAAGACATTTGCCTTTAGTAGTAGCCGGAGCCCGCAGTGCCTCGCCGAATGGACCGATCCGAACGTGCGACGTGAGGCTGGGGTAGTGTGTGCGAAGGTTCCGAAGAACATTTTGAATGAGATTCGGGACATGAAGGAGGGGAAGATTTCGGTGAAAAAGAAAAAGGCGAAGGCGATGGTGGCGGCGGTCGCCGTAGTGATCGGCTCTGGGAAACGCGGGCGGATGGACGATTTCTATGGCGAGGGGGGGATTGCGCCGGAACGTAAGACCGACGCTGCGGTTGTCCTCTACCTCGCGGGGACGCGCACAGCAGAGCGTCAGTGCGAGCACCCCCTCTTCCTCAACATGCTACGCGCAGTCGCCGAGGCCGGAACTAGGTATGGCCCCCCCAAGCGCACGTTCGTCGGGGGCGTGGGGTTGTTGGAGTGTAAACAACAGATTGAAAAGGCTTTGGAGCCCGTTACCAAGACGTGGCAGCAGATGGGCGTGACGATCGCCGGTGACATGATGACGGACAAAAGCGGGCGCGCGCAGATGAACATCATTTGCGTGAACGACGCTGGAGCTGTTTTCACAGAGGTGGTCGACTGTAAGGCGGAGAAGACAATTGGCCGCTTCATTGCCGCCATCTTGCGGCCGATCATCAAGAGGGTCGGGCTGGAGTACGCCATCGCGCTTTGCATGGACGGAGGTAGCAACTACAAAAAAGCCTGCAAGCTGCTGCGGAAGGATTATCCTCACATCGAGCTCATCCCCTGCCCCACTCGCGTGTTGGACTTGCTGATGGAGGATATCAGGACGATGGGGTGGGCGCAGGATGTCGTCGGCACGGCAGACGACATGATATCGTTCTTGCGGAAGCACTTGTGGACGCGCGTCTTCTTGCGGAGTCCCAAGCTGCACGGCGAGAAGGTGCTGCAGGTGTTGCGCCCGGCGGAGACGCGCTTTGGGACGAACTTCATCGCAGCGTCTCGTCTGTTGGCCCTTCGCTCGCAGCTGACGCAGATGGTTACGCACAAGGATTCGGCGGTGAAAAGGGGGAAAAAGACGATCGGTGTGGGGTTCGAGGCGTCGGTGATGGATGCAGCGTGGTGGAAGAAGGCGGAGTTCTTTGTGAAGTTGATGGAACTGCCGTACCTGGTGATGCGGAGGACGGACTCAGCGGCGAAGGGGATGGTGGGCTCGTTGTACGACATCATGCTGTAGCTGACGGAGGAGTTGCATTCGCTGCTGGCTGGGAAGGACTGTAAGTTGAAGGCGGCGGATAAGGAGGGGGTGCGGGAGCATTTGAGGAGGCGTTGGGACGAGAGCCTGGCATGCCCCCTTCACATGGCAGGCCGAATTTCGAACCCGGCCAACCGGGAGGAGGGGATTTCCCTGGAGGACGTTGAGTGCACTTGGGTGATGCGGGAATGGCTTACCCGCCAGACGGCCTTCACCAAAAAGTACCGGAAGAAGTCCAGGAAGGGACAGCGCAAGTTGCTGGAGGAGGGGATGCTAACTTACATCAACGGCACGAGGTGCTTCGGGACGGAGACCGCAATAAAGGGGCGGAAGGCGCTGCAGGACGGGAAGGGGGATGTGAAGGTGTGGTGGCAGTATAACGGCTGGGAATATGCCGACCTGGCGCGTGTTGCGCGTCGTCCGCTGTCCCAGCCCGTTTCCGCCGCCCCGTGCGAGCAGAACTGGTCTGTTTGGGAACCGGCTCGGGTCGGAGAAGGTGCGCGACCTAGTCTACGTTGCGCACAACTGGACTGTTGTGCACAACTTCCGCCAATGCTGCTAGTGCAGAGCGTAGTGTGGGGACGGGAAGGAAGGAGGGGGTGGTGGAGGGGAACATTCCCACCTTCCCCTCCCCAATTGGTACAAGTTGGAGGAGGATGGGGAGGTGGAGGTGAACGAGGACGACGTGTGTCACGATGAGTGGGACCACGAGGACGAGCAGGAGGAGGGCGAGGAGGAGGATGAGTGATAGCGTTGCTATAATAGTAATAGTTAAGTATGCTTCATGCATGTTGATGACAATAGTAATTGACCACATGTGATGTGATGTATGTGACTTGGTGAAATTTTTGTATGGGAAAAAATATTGGTACAGGAAAAAATCTGGTTGGAATGTGAATTATCTCCATTCCCCCCCCCCCCCCCTGCCCCATTGGGGTTTTTTTGGGCCTGCCCGAACCTTTTTTGCCTGCCCGGGCTTGCGTCTGTACCTGCGTCTAAAAAGGCAGAAAAATGTGTTATGCGTCCTGGATGCAGCGTCTAGACGCACTGCGTCCAGGACGCAAGACACGTCATCTGCAACACAGGTGAGAATGAGAGTGAGAAGGTCCGGGCGCACCCACTTGGCTGCCTGGGAGTGGAAAGAAGGGGAGAGGAGGGGGACAGAGGAGGGGGGGCGAAGACTTGAGAGAATGGGAAGGTAAGAAAGGATGGGAACGGAGTGCGAGGCGAGGAAGGGATCATCCCATCTGCTACACATGCATTAGGAAGGAAGCAGGGCAGTGGAGAGAGCGTAGGAGAGAGAGATGATGAGATGAAGGCAGCACAACAGAACGAGGGAGGAATGGATGGGATGGGCAGGGACACAACAGCAGTCGGAACAGCGTACCGAGAAGAGGAGGGATGGTCAGTCTGGAGGCCCTTGGAGAGTCGTGGGAAGGAGGTAGGGGATGGTGGTGATGGTGGTGCGGGTGATGCTGGTGATGCTGGTGCTGCTGGTGCTGCTAGTGGTGATAGGCTAGCATACCGTGAAAGGAAGGGACGGTTGATCGCGAGGCCCTTCGAGAGTTGTGGGAATGAGGTAGGGGATGATGGTGATGGTGGTGCTGCCGATGCTGGTGCTGCTGGTGCTGGTGCAAGTGGTGATTGAAGAACGTACCGAGAAGAGCAGGGACGGTTGGTCTGGAAGTCCTTGGAGAGTCGTGGGAATGAGGTAGGGGATGATGGTGATGGCGATGGCAGCAGCAACTGGGATGAGAGCGTAGATGGGGTAGAGGAACCTGGAAGGGAGGTATGGAAGGGTTACGGGGTGTGGATAGTAGAGAAGAGGCGTAGAGAACAAGGATCAGCAAAGGCGGAGGCAGGGGGATCAATGACGGGAGGGAGGTAGGGGATGATGGTGATGGCGATGGCAGCAGTGACAGGGATGAGCGCATAGATGGGGTAGAGGAACCTGAGGGAGATGTGCGGGAGGGGAGGTGGAAATGATAGGGGAGTAGAGGCAGGTGGTGCAGGAGAAAATGAATGGGATAGGGGATGATGGTGGTGGCATCAGCAACAGGGATGAGGGCATAGATGGGGTAGAGGAACCTGGGAGAGATGTGCGGGAGGGAGGGGAGGCAAGGCAAGGTATGGGGTGATGGTGATGGTGATGGTGATGGTGGCAGCAGCGACAGGGATGAGCGCATAGATGGGGTAGAGGAACCTGGGAGGGATGTGGGGGAGGACAAAAAAGGGAGGGTGGGGAGATAGGGAGTAGGCCCAGGTGATCTGTGCGAAGAAGAAATGATGAAGAGGGTAATGGTGATGGTGATGGCAGCAGCGACAGGGATGAGCACATAGATGGGGTAGGTAGAGGAACCTGAGGGAGATGTGCGGGAGGGAGGGGGAGGCTAGCGATGGGTGGATGTTGAAGGTGGCACAAACAGCGTTGAGTAAAGTGCGTAGATGAGATAGAGGAACATGGGAGGGATTCGGGGGCGGAAGGTAGGACGGATGGTACAGATTCAATGCAGGCAGGCAGATGAGGGGAGGTAGGTAGGTAGGGGTAAAGAATGGGGGTGATGGTAGGTGCCTGTTGACAAAGTGCGTGCTTGAGAATACTCACCGTTCCTCAAATGGATAAAGGACGGTCATTTAGAATACTCACCGCTCCTCCTTGTGTGGCTGAAGGGACATGAATCCAACCCAGATGACCACAGGCAGCAGCAGCAGCGCCACCACCTCTTTCCACCCCACAAACCCCTTCCCACCCCTCTCCACCCCTCCATTTCCACCCCTCCCTTGCCGGCGAAACGGCGACGACGCAAAGCACGCGATCAGCAGCAGCAGTGGGAGGATGAGCCCGAGGGGGAGGGCGAGAGAAAAGTTGTTGAGGCCGTTGCGGAGGTAGAAGAGGGGACCCTCCACGCCGTACAGAGTGCTCCCGGCACCGTCCCCCCCTCCAAACACGTTGTAGCGGATTAGGTTGAACACAGAGGAGGTCCATTGGCCGTAATAAAGACGGTCAAAACACAGGGAAAGGCCCTGGACAGGTAGAGGGAGGGAGGGAGTGGAGGGAGCAGCACGAGGGGGAGGGCGAGGGAGAGTTGTTGAGAGTGTTGCGGAGGTAGAAGAGGGGGCTTTCCACTCCATACAGCGTGCTCCCCGCACCGTCTTTTGAGGCGCCTCAAAAAGCGCCTCAATTTTTGAGGCGCCTCAAAAATAGAAGAGGGGGCTTTCCACTCCATACAGCGTGCTCCCCGCCCCGCACCGTCTCCTCCTCCAAACACATTGTACCGCACGAGGTTGAGCACAGAGGAGGTCCACTGGCCATAATACAGAGAGAGTGGACCTCCTCTGTGCTCTCTCTCTCTGAGGAGGTCCACTGGCGATCGAAACACAGAGAGAGTGCCTGCATGGGGACAAAGAGGGAGAGAGGAGGGAGAGAGAGAGGGAGCGGGCAGCACAAAGGGGGAGGGCGAGGGTGAAGTTGTTGAGGCCGTTGCGGAGGTAGAAGAGCCGCCCCTCCACTCCGTACAGCGTGCTGCTGCTCCTGCTGCCGGCTCCGTCCCCCCCTCCCAGCACGTTGTAATGCACTAGGTTGAGAATGGAGAAGGTCCATTGACCGTAGTACAGGCAGTCACAACACAGAGAGAGGGCCTGGAGGACAGGGGGAGGGAGTGGAGGGAGGGAGGGAGCAGCACGAGGGGGAGGGCGAGGGTGAAGTTGTTGAGGCCGTTGCGGAGGTAGAAGAGTGGCTCCTCCACTCCGTACAGCGTGCTGCCCGCACCGTCCCCCGCTCCAAACACGTTGTAGCGGATTAGGTTGAACACAGAGGAGGTCCACTGGCCGTAGTACAGGCGATCGAAACACAGAGAGAGGGCCTGGATGGGTACAAGAGGAGAGAGTGGAGGGAGGGAGGGGGGGAGTGAGTCGGGGGAGGGGAAGGAGGGAGGCAGCAGCAGAGGGAGGATGAGCGCAAGGGGGAGGGCGAGGGAGAAGTTGTTGAGGCCGTTGCGGAGGTAGAGTGCCGCCGAGTCCACACCGTCCCCCCCTCCAAACACGTTATAGCGGATTAGGTTGAACACAGAGGAGGTCCACGGGCCGTAGTACAGGCGATCGAAACACAGGGAGAGGGCCTGGACAGGAGCAGGGGGAGGGGGGCAGGGAGGGAGAGAGTGAGGGAGGGAGGGAGGGAGGGAGGGAGGGCGGGAGGGAGGGAGGGCGGGAGGGAGGGCGGGAGGGAGGGAGGGAGGGAGTGAAGGGGAGAGGGAGGGACAATGAGTGCGAGGGGGAGGGCGAGTGTTGAGGCCACTGCGGAGGTAGAAGAGTGGCCCCTCCGTGTTTTTTGAGAATTCTCAAGAAGAGTGGCCCCTCCGCGCCTGCTGCTGCTCTTGTAGGAGTACAGCACTGGCCATATCTGAGTCGTTTTTTTTTTTTTTATTATTATTATTATTATTATTATCTCAAAAGCTGCTACTCTGATAGGAGTACAGTACTGGCCAATGGCTCACTCAATCAGCCGGTACCCACTGACTGAGACGAGGAGAGTGGTGAGAGCACCAGAGACAACGACCATCACAAATCCACCACAAATCATTCGGTGCAGCACCAGAGGCAAGGCTGCCACCCAAGCAGCACGCCTGCTGCTGCTGCCGCCACTGCTGCTGCTGTGTGGGTGCCTGTTTTGTCACTCACTCGATCAGCCGGTACCCACTTACTAAGACGAGAAGAGTGGTGAGAGCACCAGACACGACCACCTTCACAAAGGCTCCAGTGATCATCCCGTGCAGCACCAGCGGCAGGGCTGCCAGGCCCGCAAAGGGCCACCCCAGCAGCACCAGAAGCAATGATCTCGAACCCACTTACTGAGACGAGTACAGTGGTGATTGCACCGGATGCAACGACCTTCACAAAACCACCAGTGATCATCCCGTGCAGCACCAGCGGCAGGGCTGCCAGGCCTGCAAAGGGCCACCCCAGCAGCACGCCTGCTGCTGCTGCCGCTGTTGCTGCTGCGGGGCGGCCTTGGATGGTCAGAGACGTGGCCCACGTGATTGCATACATGCTGAAAGTGCTGGGGAGGAAGGCTGGGGAAGGGAAAAAGTATTGCACAAAATGAGGGGATACATGTGCGTTGAACGCGCTGCTGCTGCTGCTGCCGCTGTTGCTGCTGCGGGTCTGCGTTGGATGGTCAGAGACGTGGCCCACGTGATTGCATACATGCTGAAAGTGCTGGGGAGGAAGGCTGGGGAAGGAGGAGGACGGAATAGGAGAAGGGGAGACAGGCTATGTGTGTCATATCAAGGGACGTGGCCGAGGTGATTGCATGCATGCTGAAAGTGCCGGGGAGGATGGCTGCATAAAGGCGAGGGGAGTGAGTGAGGGCAGGCAGGGCAGGGCAGGCACGTACGGGAAGAGACTCTGTATAGAATTACTAAACCTGGCTCAGTTGACTTTTGAGTCGACTCAAAAGACTCTGTATAGAATTACTAAACCTGGCTCAGGCAATTGTGTACACGCTGAAGGTGCTGCAGAAGAACATGGATTAATGGAGGGGGAGGGGGAAAGTGCTTGATAGGGGGGAGCTAGCGAGTAAAGGTTGTAACCACCACTCACTTGTGGACACGAGAAAGTTTCCAAAGCAGAAGCAGAGGAGCAGCAGGAGTCAAGGGGTGAGTGTGACAGGAGGGAGCGAGCGAATATAAGTCATAACCACAATCACTTGTGGATGCGAGAAAGTTGCCAGAGCAGAAGCAGAGGAGCAGCAGGAGTTGAGAGGTGAACACCCTCAGCACTCCACACGTGAGTGCTGAGGAAGAAGCATCACTCACTTGTGGAGGCGAGAAAGTTGCCAGAGCAGAAGCAGAGGAGCAGCAACCCGCACACACCCACTCGCTCCCCAATCCCTGCTGGGACCGCCCTCTCTCGCTTCGCCTTCTCCTTCTCCTCCTCCTTCCCTTTCTCCTTATCTTCCCTCGTTCCACTGCTGCTGCTACTGGCACTGCCAGCACTGGTGGCCTTGTGAAGGGCTGTTGCAACGGCTACGAGTAGAGATGCCTCTGAGGCAGCAGAGAGAACAGCCAGGGCCAGGCGGACAGTGTAGAAGGCGTTAGCCTGCGATGGGGAAGAGTACAAAGGAGTGACGGGAAGGGGGCAGGAGGAGAGAACAGAAGCCTGAGTGGGCTTGTGAAGGGCAGCAGTAACAGCCACGGGCAGAGATGCCTCTGAAGCGGCAGAGAGAACAGCCAGGGCCAGGCGAACAGCATAGAAGGCGTTAACTGAGGTGGGGAAGGTAGGAAGGGAGGTTATGGGGAGGAAGGAGGGTAGGGAAGGGGCCTGAGTGGCCTTGTGAAGGGCAGCAGCCACAGCCACGAGCAGAGATGCCTCTGATGCAGCAGAGGGAACAGCCAGGGCCAGGCGGACAGTGTAGAAGGCGTTAACTGAGGTGGGGATGGTAGGAACAGGGATGAGGGTAGGGATTGAGAAGAGAAGGATGACGGGGAGGTGAGAACGTGGATGAGGGGGGCAACCTGCCATCAGAAACGAAGCAAATGAAAGGCAACGGCTTATACAGGTGTTCAAAAGCGAACCCAAGCACAAGAAATTATAAATCAGGCATCACATTGCTTGATGTAGGGCATAAGTTGCCACTTATCAGCGCTCTTAGCTCATCTTACACCCATCTGGTCCCTTACCTCCCTCACCCTAACAACAGCTATCAGGGTTCTTTGCTCACCTTACCCGTACCGTTGCCAAAAAAGAGAGTGACTGGCAGGGCGATGAGGGCGTGAAAGAAGAGGTAGAGGTAGGAGCGAAGGGCGAATGCAGAGCTGTTGGGTCAATAGGATAGCGAGGAGAGAGAGAGGGAAAAGAGAGACAGAAATGGAAAGGTTTCAAAGGCGCCTGCAGTGACTGCTGAGGTGTAGTGTGACTGACACGGCAGCAAGGGCGTGGTGAAAGAGGTAAAGGTAGGATCGAAGGGTGAACGCAGAACTGTTGGGATAGGATAATAAGGAGAAGGGGAAAGACAATGGAGCAGAGGTCAGAAAGCATGTGGTTTTTGAGGGTGTATGTTGCAACAAGGGCAAAGAGCGTGAAAGAGTACTGCACCTGTATTCCCATGTCTGGAACCCGGACTCGTGCAGGAGGTAGTGCAGAGGCTCCCAGTAGCTGAACGTCTCTCAAGAGAATTCCTAGAGAATCCCTAGATTGTGAAGACATGGGAGCAGCAAGGAAGGAGCGCCCACCTGTATTCCCATGTCTGGAACCCGAATTCGTGCAGGAGGTAGTGCAGAGGCTCCCAGTAGTTGAACGTCTCTCAAGAGAATTCCTAGAGAATCCCTAGATTGTGAAGACATGGGAGCAGCAAGAAAGGAGCACCCACCTGTATTCCCATGTCTGGAACCCGGATTCGTGCAGGAGGTAGTGCAGAGGCTCCCAGTAGTTGAAAGTCTCGTCGCAGTCGTGGATGATGTTCACCGCTGCGCTTATTGACCTGCACATTGGCAATTTGTGAGAGAAAAACAAGGGGGGGGGGGGCAACAAAAGGCTCCCAGTACTTGAACGCCTCGTCGCAGTCGTGGATGGTGTTGAAAGCTCCGCTATTGACCTGCTGTTAAAACAGCAAAGCGTGACGAAATGCGGATTCAGGGAAATGTACACATGTAACCAAGCAACCGAGAAATGCTAGATTCTGAAATACGATTACTGACCGTGAGATCAGGAGGAAAAAGAATGCGGCTCGCCAGGAAATAAGTAGGCTCTTCTGCTGCTTCTTCACTGGTTGCTGCAAGGATTCTGAGGAGGAGGGTACAGGCTGGGTGCCTGACGAGGTTCCTTGGGCTTCGGATCTCCTTCGTTGACGGAGATTCCCGGAGGAGTCCATGACGAGAGATCAGCGATAATGACGATTTGACGGAATGATAATGGGTGACTGAAAACTATTGGATCCAGCGAAAGTACGAAACGTTTGGAACTGGTCAATAGTAATGTGCCTTGTAAATGCAGGATCCGTAGGAGGGGTTTCGACTCCTAAAATTGATTGGAGGTCGCGAACATGTCCTAATTCGCCGTCGTCAGCAGACTCGCAGAAACATTATTCCAACGCCGAGAATGTGCTCCTCTTCAGCATCGCAGAATCATGAGTGGGTCGCCATGGATGTTATGTGCGGGAAAGCAACAGCAGCTGAAGTAGACCAGCCAAAAACAATTAAGATTGGAATTCACGATGATTTGTTTTTTCGTCACCAATTGCTTCGCTGGTAACCGGGAACTCTGCGATTCGCCAGCTGTCTTGTTTCAGCCAAGGGCACATCTATCTCCCACCACACTGCTATGGCTGTGGGTGCCCCTGTCTGCCTGACGAGTTGATATGTTTTCGCGCCAAACCTCTTCGCAAGGCAAGAATCACTCTGGTCTGACAATCCCGCCAAAACTTGGTAACCAGAAAGCTTCTTGCTGGTGCGGGTAGGTACAAGCAAAAGGAAAACTTTCATAGGGCAAATCCACAACATTTTTTACGATCAAGCTCTGGTTTCATCCCTTGCCAGAAGCAGCGAATTCCGGTGCTGCACGGTACATAATGCTTGTGAGGCAACCAAGTGCTTCTGCCCGTTCCGGCATTCTCGAGGGCGGGACAAACGAACCGACCACCCAACCGCATCCTCGATTTCCTCAACACCAAAGCCTGACCAAAACACAGATCTCATCAGTGTTTCTGCAAGTGAGATGTGAACCTCGGCCAGTTCTGCTCTTGGAGAACTGGGGTATGTCAGTGAACTCTATCAGTTACCAGGCACCTCCTCGACTCGCTCCGCTGCGTTTCCTCGTGACTCTCCTCGTCAACGGGGAGAGTGTTGCTCCTTAATTTCCTGAACACCTCGAGCGTTCAGTACCTCTGTCGTTCGACTGATACCACCTGTCATTGGACTGAGCCACCTCTGTCCCCCGGCGACCGAGTCTGGATGTTCGTGTATTACGTCCGCCGAAGCTGCGAGGTCCCTTCAGCTAGTAGGGTGCTCAAAGTAGGAACAAGTTCGCGGATCGCCGCTGATCTGCACCGTCCATTGACATTCTCCGCGTCACGAACCGCTCAGTCCCCGAATTTCTGAGATCAAGGAGCGTCTGTTGACGAATTACCGTAATATCGCACGATGGGTCGCAGACCCTCGTCAAGTTCGTCGTCCAGCAGGTTCAAGTATCTGCGACCGTCGTACTACATCCGGCGACCCCGGCGACTAGGGCTGCTCACTCTGCTCGTCGTCGGGATCGTCTTTGTCGTCATGGATCGCCAACGACAGGCGAAAGAACTCGAGGTAAGCGAAGGGAATTGAGGTAAGCTGGCCGTTTCCTGCGAGTTGCGAAAGGAATTGAAGCAAGATGGCCGTTTCTTGCGAGTTGCGAAGGGAATTGAGGTAAGCTGGCCGTCGCTTGGGTGTTGCGAAGGGGATTGAGGTTGGCTGCCTTTTTTCCTGCGAGTTTTATGATGTCTGACGATTTTCCGTGACATCGGAATCATGCTCTTTCGTAATCTCAAAATGCGAAAGTATCAAGCTCATGCCACCCTTGATGGACAGACTCAACTTGAGAAATTCAAATTTAAGCTTCGGAGATCAAGCGGTTTCACTGTAAACCTTCGTTTGCCCAGTCAAAGTTCAGGCTACTTCCTGATTTTGGCTTATCCGTGATTCAAAACTCGCACGCGCTAATGTTATTCGACGGGGATCCACGATTTGTGGTTCCGACCAACCAAACCAGTCTTACCGCTCTATGCCTTCATGCTAACTAATCGACGAGTCCAAACCTCATGTGGTCAAAACGAAGCTCAATCCTCACACGGCAGCTTACTTCTTTCGTGGTCCCGCAGTCAGTAGCATTAACTGCCCTCTCGTTTTGCTCCGTGTCTTCTGCAGGAACTCGCGACGCAGCTGGATAGTCTCGAAGTCGAGAAGAGTCACCTGGTTGTTGAGGTATGAAGTGTTATCCTCTGTGTTCTGTTCCGCCGCTGTTACGTTGCTGTGAACCGCACTTTCTCAATGCCGTTTCCTGTTCACATGACCTGATCCGATCTCAGCTGCAGCAGGCTCGCCTGACTGGCAGCGTTTTTTATGCGCAGCCCAGCGTTTGTCTCCTCCTGCTGTTTCTGGCGTGTGCCCTCCCTTGCTCTTGGTCCCATCTCAGCTGCAGCAGGCTCGCCTGACTGGCAGCGTTTCTTATGCGCTGCCCAGGCAGGAAGCAAAGGCTTATAAATCATAGCCTCCTGGCTTTCCCTACGTGTCCTGTCTCCTCCTGCTGTTTCTGGCGTGTGCCCTCCCTTGCTCTTGCTCCCATCCCAGCTGGAGAAGGCTCGCTTGACCGGCAGCGTTTCTGACGCCCAGGCAGGAGGCAAAGCCGCGTCTGTTAAGAAAAACCCTCTTATTCTCGGTGTAGGAGGGGGAGGGGGTGGTGGCGGCGGTGGCGGAGGTGGGATAAGTGTAAATGCAGCACGTGCGACTAGCAAAGTGCAAGCGAGAAAGCTCCTTCCTCTAGAAAAGATCGTTCAGGCGGGTGCTACAGGGGGGATGCTGAGAGGAGGCGAGCAGGCTGGGCAAGCGTATACTGGGGATGCTATTATAAGGGATCCTGTTACTGGGGATGCTCATAGCGCGGATGTGGAACAGAAGGCGCTGTCAGAGCTGCAGAGACTGGGGAAGCTGGACGACGATGGGCTGGGAGGCGGGGAAGGTGACAGTAACGAGGGGAAGGCAGCTGATACAGACCCGCTTGAGGATGCGGATTTAGAGGATGATGTGGCTGTAGCGGGGGGTGGCAAAAACGGAGGGGGGGGAGGAGGAGTGAGAGCAGGCGGGGTGACGGAAGCAGGGGGAGAGCAGTTGCAGAGTGAGCAGAGGAAGGAGGTATCGGTGGCTGAGCAACGAGCGGCAGAGAAACAGACGCAGGGACAGGGGCAGGGGCAGAGGCAGGGGCAGGGGGTGTTGTTGAGAGGGCAGGATGAGACGGAGAGGAGGAGAGAGTCGATCAAGCAGGGGATGCTGCATGCGTGGAGAGGGTACAAGAAGTACGCGTGGGGGTCTGATGAGCTCCAGGTGAGAAGGGGATTACAGCTGGGGAGGCGAAGTGCTTGCAGGGTGTGGTTTGGTTCGACCGAAAAGCCACCTTGAGAGGCGATCAAGCAGGGGATGCTGCATGCGTGGAGGGGGTACAAGAAGTACGCGTGGGGGTCTGATGAGTTCCAGGTGAGTAGGAACGCTGCTTGAGAAGGAAACTCCAGGTGAGAAGGGGATTCCAGGTATGAAGGCGAGGTGCCTGTGGGTAATTTCGGGTGGGCTCAACACGTGTCGCCTTAAAAGCTGATCAAACAGGGGATGTTGCATGCATGGAGAGTGAGGTACAAAAAGTACGCATTTTGATGTGCCTCAAAAGTTGTTGCATGCATGGAGAGAGAGGTACAAAATTGCACCCCACCACACCACCCTCTCATCCTCCCCCCATTTTCCACCAGCCACACAGTAAGGCCCCGCCCAACAACTTTGGAGGCATGGGGTTGATTCGTTTTCCACCTGCTCATTCCCTCTCCTCACGCCGTTCGTCTTGCTCCCCACCCTCCATCCACTCTCCACCCACCCTTCACACCTGCCAGCCGCGCAGTAAGACCCCGTCGAACAACTTTGGAGGCATGGGAGCAACGATTGTTGACTCGCTGGACACGCTCTTCCTCATGAGACTGAAATATTTGCTCGTATTCCACTCGTCTTGCTCCCATCTCCCCTCCACGCTCCACCCGTCCTTCCCCCACCCACCTGCCTCGCAGTAAGACCCCGTCCAACAACTTTGGAGGCATGGGAGCAACGATCATTGACTCGTTTCCCACCGACTTGTTTCCAAAACCCCACCATGCTCTCATCCTCCCCGTTTTTCCTGCCAGCCTCGCAGTAAGACCCCGTCCAATAACTTCGGAGGCATGGGGGCGACGATCGTGGACTCACTGGACACTCTGTTTCTCATGGGACTGAAGGACGAGTTCAGAGATGCGCAAAAGTACGTTCACGGGCCAGCCATATACTGGCTCTTGCAGGGCAAATTGGCGGGTTTAGGGTTTTTTTTTTCTATTGTACCAATGCTGGCTGGACACTCTGTTTCTCATGGGGCTTAAGGACGAGTTTAGAGACGCGCAAAAGTACGTTCACAGGCCAGCCGTAAGTTGTGCAGGGCAGGTTGTTGAGGCCCTCATGCCCATATGGGGCCATGTTGTGCTATAGCAGTGCTGGCGGGCGAGGCGACCATCGTTGACTCGCTGGACTCGCTCTTCCTCATGGGGCTCAAGGACGAGTTTCAGAGACGCGCAAAAGTACGTTGGTTATGCGGGGCAGGTTGGCGGATTTAGGTTTTTGCTGTAGCTAGCATTGCTGGGGAGCAACCATCGTTGACTCGCTGGACTCGCTCTTCCTCATGGGGCTCAAGGACGAGTTCAGAGACGCGCAAAAGTAAGCTGGTCTATGGTTAGAGGGCGTGACCATGTGATGTTCCTGTAGCAGTGCTGGAAGCAAGCAACGATCGTTGACTCGCTGGACATGCTCCTCCTCATGGGGCTCAAGGACGAGTTCAGAGACGCTCAGAAGTGCGTTCACAGGTTGTAGGGTAGGCTGATGTGCTGGGTTGAGCATGTGCTGGGTTGAGCATGTGCTGGGGGGCGACCATCATTGACTCACTGGATGGGGCTCAAGGACGAGTTCAGAGACGCGCAAAAGTTCGTGCACATGGCAGCTGTATGTATGTTTATGTTGGGCAGGATGGGGCAGGGCAGATTGGTGTGTGAGGCATGTCGGTGGAGTGGAGGGTCTATGCGCTGCTGTAGCAGGGCTGAAAAGTGACGATCGTGGATTCGCTGGACACGCTCCAACTCATGGGGCTCAAGGACGAGTTCAGAGACGCTCAAAAGCAGGTTCACAGGCTGCAGGGTAGGTTGATGTGTTGGGCATGTGCTGCTGTGGCAGTGCTGGAAGCGGCCGTTGTCGACCCGCTGGACACGCTCACAGGGTTTCGGGGTTAGGCCGGCCAAGGGGATGCTCATTGGTAGTGGGGCACGTCGGGGCAGGAACTTTGGTGCTGAAGCAGTGCTGCCGGGGGCAGCAAGACCTTGTGGAACAACTTTGAGGGATTCAGAGCAGGTCGATCGCGGGTTAACTATATCAGTAGGACAGTCAGGTCAGGCTCCAGGTGTATGGGTGTGACATAGCTGGGGCGAGATGGTCGGCGAGATGGTGTGGCATGGCTGTGACATGCTCCTCCTGATGGGGCTCATAGACGAGTTCAGAAATGCAAAGCAAGCTTGAACCCAAATCCCCAACTCCTAAATCGTCTCCTGCCTACGTTGCTTTTCTGAAGCCTCTAGCTGGCGCGAGTTGACTTCTCCCTCCTGATCTGTGTGTGTGTTGTGTGTGCGCCTCTGTTGCTGCAGGTGGGTGGGCGAGTCCCTCAATTTCAACCGGCACTCCAGCGTCAGCGTCTTTGAAACAACCATCCGGTATGCAATGCAATGCGCACCCTCCCTTAACCACAATTTGGCTGCTCCTTTTTCTGCATCCCTTTACCAGCCTCGTCCACTCCCCCTTATCTCCTGTATTTCTTCCCACCGTTTCCCTTTTCTTTTCTTTTTTTCCAGCAGCATACGACCTTTCTCGCTGCCCTTTCCGGCTTTCCTCGTTTTCCTTCTTTGTCATTTCCCCCATCCCTCCTGCGACCACTTCTCCCCTGTCCCCCCGATCCTCACAGTTTGCTGGGCGGGCTGCCAGCAGCGCACGACCTGTCACAGGGAAAAGAAAGGTCTTCTTGGAGAAGGCGAGGGAGCTGGGGGACCACTTTTCACCCGACTCACTGTTGCTGTTCCCCCAATCCCGACAGGATTCTGGGCGGGCTGCTAGCAGCGTACGACCTGTCAGGGGAAAAGAAAAGGCCTTCTTGGACAAGCCGAGGGAGCTGGGGGACCAGTCTAACTCTCCGTCCCTTCTGGCCCACTTCCGTCTCCCCGCTTCCCCGCATCCCCTGCAGAATCCTGGGTGGGCTGCTTGCGGCATACGACCTGTCGGGGAAGAAGGTCGTCTTAGACAAGGCGAGGGAGGTAGGAGACCAATGTTCACCCGACCCATTGTTAGTGTTCCCCCAATCCCTACAGAATGCTGGGCGGGCTGCTTGCGGCATACGACCTGTCGGGGGAAAAGGTCTTCTTAGACAAGGTGAGGGAGGTAGGAGACCAATGTTCACCCGACCCATTGTTGGTGCTCCCCCAATCCCCACAGAATGCTGGGCGGGCTGCTAGCAGCGTACGACCTGTCCGGCGAGAAAGTATTCTTGGAGAAGGCCAGGGAGCTGGGAGACCGACTCCTGCCCGCATTCAACACCCCTACTGGCATCCCATTTGCCTATGTCGATCTGGCCTCTGGAGGAGGGAACGCGCCTGGCTGGACCGGGGTAAGCTGCTTCCCGTCCTTCATGTCTTCCTTGCTTGCATTCTTCGGAGATCGGCTGCTACCAGCATTCAACACCCCCACTGGGATTCCCTTTGCCTATGTCGATCTGGCCTCTGGAGGAGGGAACGCGCCTGGCTGGACTGGGGTAAGCTGTAGCTTCTCTCGATGTCCACGTGTGTTCCTTCGGATCTGGAAGAAGCACTCCACTTCTATGCACGTCACCTGGTTTTGGTTGTCTATCTCGTCTTAAACCCTTCCTCCCATCACCACAGGGATCGGCAGTGCTAGTGGATCTCGGCACGCTCCAGCTGGAGTTTGTGTGTGTGTTTGTGCATGTGATTGTGTGTGTGTGTGTGTGTCTTGTGCGCTCAATGCCAACCTCTACTTCTCCCATCACCACAGGGATCGGCAGTGCTGGCGGATCTCGGCATGCTCCAGCTGGAGTTTGTGTGTGTGTTTGTGCATGTGATTGTGTGTGTGTGTGTCTTGTGCACTCAATGCCAACCTCTACTTCTCCCATCACCACAGGGATCGGCAGTGCTGGCGGATCTCGGCACGCTCCAGCTGGAGTTTGTGTGTGTGTTTGTGCATGTGATTGTGTGTGTGTGTCTTGTGCATTCAATGCCAACCTCTACTTCTCCCATCACCACAGGGATCGGCAGTGCTGGCGGATCTCGGCACGCTCCAGCTGGAGTTTGTGTGTGTGTTTGTGCATGTGATTGTGTGTGTGTGTGTCTTGTGCACTCAATGCCAACCTCTACTTCTCCCATCACCACAGGGATCGGCAGTGCTGGCGGATCTCGGCACGCTCCAGCTGGAGTTTGTGACTCTCTCTCAGCGGACAGGCGACCCCAAATACGCAATCAAGGTCAGTTCAGTGGCTATGTAACCTGGTAACCTGGGAATATTGACGAGCTCTGAGGCGCCTGATAATCAATACCGACACACATTCCAGCTGGAGTTTGTGACTCTCTCTCAGTGGACAGGCGACCCCAAATACGCTATCAAGGTGAGTGGTGTGGTGGTAACCTGGTTACTTGGAGAATGAGCTTTGAAGCGCCTAAGAGATGGTATCAAGACGCTGCGGTTGGAGTTTGTGACTCTCTCTCAGCGGACAGGCAACCCCAAATACGCAATCAAGGTCAGCAACTCGCTCCCTAATCATGTAATAAGGCCGGATTGAAAATATCTTTCCAGAGGATGGTCTCGTACCTATGTTGCCCCTCCTCCCACTCCCACCCTCCCACCGCACACCCCTTCTTCAGAGAATACAATCACCGCCCGCCACAGGTAGAGAATGTGATCAAGTAGATTGAGAAAATATTTCCAGAGGATGGTCTCATGCACATGTTGCTCCTCTCATTCCCCCTCCCCACCTTCCTCCCTCCACAGGCGGAGAATGTGATTCGGCAGACTGAGAAATCTTCCCAGAAGACGGTCTCGTTCCCATGTTGCTGCTCCTCCTCTCTCCCTATTGCAAACCCCCGTTCCCTTCCCTCCCTCACTCCCCTCCACAGGCTGAGAATGTGATTAAGCAGATTGAAAAGATCTTCCCAGAGGACGGTCTCGTGCCCATGTTGCCCTTCCTTCTCTCTCCCCATGGCGAACCCCCTTTCCCTTCCCCACCTTCCTCCCTCCACAGGCAGAGAACGTGATCAGGCAGATCGAAAAGATTTTCCCGGAGGATGGCCTGGTGCCCATGTTCATCAGTATTGACAGTGGAGAGCCCACGAGCAGTCACATCACCTTCGGGTCCATGGGCGACAGGTGAGCTGCTGGAGTGCGTGGTGCTGTCCCCTTGAGTATCAGGCACATAGGCGGTCTCGTGCCCATGTTCATCAGCATCGACAGCGGGGAGCCCACCAGTAGCCACATCACCTTCGGATCCATGGGCGACAGGTGAGCCTCGTGCATCTGGCATGTCATGGCCTCATTCACCTTCCACTGCCTCATTCGCCTGGGTCAAAGCATGCCTGCCCCGGAGGCTAGAGCACCTGTCTGCCACGGTCTGGTGCCCCTGTTCATCACCATTGACAGCGGGGAGCCCACCAGCAGCCACATCACGTTCGGGTCCATGGGAGACAGGTGAGACGGGAGCATGAGTTGCTGTAGCTTCGTGCATCTGGCATAACCCCATGTAACCGCCATGCCCTGGCCTGGCCTGGACTAGCCTGGACTGGCCTCCGAGTACCTGTCACGGCCTCGTGCCCATGTTCATCAGTATTGACAGCAGGGAGCCCACCAGCAGCCACATCACGTTTGGGTCCATGGGGGACAGGTGAGCCCTCTTCCCTGCCCTCTTCCGTGCCCTCTTCCCTGCCCTCTTCCCTGCCCTCTTCCCTGCCCTCTTCCCTGCCTTCTTCCCTGCCCTCTTCCCTGCCCTCTTCCCTGCCCTCTTCCCTGCCCTCTTCCCTGCCCTCTTCCCTGCCCTCTTCCCTGCCCTCTTCCCTGCCCTCTTCCCTGCCCTCTTCCGTGCCCTCTTCCGTGCCCTCTTCCCTGCCCTCTTCCCTGCCCTCTTCCCTGCCCTCTTCCCTGCCCTCTTCCCTGCCCTCTTCCCTGCCCTCTTCCCTGCCCTCTTCCCTGCCCTCTTCCCTGCCCTCTTCCCTGCCCTCTTCCCTGCCCTCTTCCCTGCCCTCTTCCCTGCCCTCTTCCCTGCACTCTTCCCTGCCCTCTTCCCTGCCCTCTTCCCTGCCCTCCTCCCAGTTTCTACGAGTATCTGATCAAGTTGTGCTTGCATGGGGGCAAGACTGAGTCCCGTGTCCCCCCCTCGTCCTTCTTCCCCACCCTTCTTTCCTCTTCTCTCTCATCAGCTTCTACGAGTATCTGATCAAGTTGTGGGTGCACGGAGGCAAGACTGAGTCCCTTGTCCCCTCCTTGTCCATTCTTCCCCACCCTTCTTTCCTCTTCTCTCTCATCAGCTTCTACGAGTATCTGATCAAGTTGTGGGTGCACGGAGGCAAGACTGAGTCCCTTGTCCCCTCCTTGTCCATTCTTCCCCACCCTTCTTTCCTCTTCTCTCTCATCATCAGCTTCTACGAGTATCTGATCAAGTTGTGGGTGCACGGAGGCAAGACTGAGTCCCTTGTCCCCTCCTTGTCCATTCTTCCCCACCCTTCTTTCCTCTTCTCTCTCATCAGTTTCTACGAGTATCTGATCAAGATGTGGGTGCACGGGGGCAAGACGCCAGTTGTCAAGAAGTACAGGTGAGTGGGAAGAAACAGTGACTTGATGAACAGCAGTGAGTGGGAAGAAGTACAGGTGAGTGGGAAGAAGTACAGGTGAGAAGCCATTGTGAACCTCTTGATGGGGAGTTGTGGTGGTGGTCTTGATGGGGGCGCTGGGATGGTCTTGAGTTTAATCTAACTCCCGGGTGGGTGGATGGATGGAGCAGGCGATTCGCCTCCCATTGTTCTTCCCTTTTCTTCTTTTCACCTTATTCCATCTGTTTTCCATCTGTACTGGGAGGTGCTCGAAATTGGTGCATCCCATCCCATCCCAGGGTATTTTTGAGAATTTTCAAAAATACCCTGCAGACAATTCTTTAGTCGACTCAAAAATCGTCTGTTTTCCAAATTGGTGCATGCATCCCATAGCGGACAGAGCTGGCTGACCAGATTCTCTCGGTTCCACTCCTCCCTTCCATGCACCCCCCCCTTCCTCAGGGTGTTTTTGAGAATTCTCAAAAACACCCTGCAGCTTCCCATAGCGGACAGAGCAGGCTGACCTGATTCTCTTGGCCCCACTCCTCTCTTCCATGCACCTCCTTACAGAGACATATGGGAGAAGTCCATAAATGGAATGTCTTTCCAAATTTGTATGGTGCGCAACATACAGAGCTGGCCAACCTAATCGTTCGCCCCCACTCCTCCCTTCCACTCACCCCCTCACAGAGACATGTGGGAGAAATCTATAAATGGAATGTTTTCCAGATTGGTACAGCGCACGCCAGACCAGGGGGGGCACAAGGGGTACTCCTATGTGCCTGAGATGGAGGGAGGGGGGCTCATTCGCAAGATGGAGCACCTCACGTGCTTTGTACCGGGGATGCTTATACTGGGTATGCCGGAGGCGTCGCCTGCGGATGCGGCCAAGTACCTGGACTTGGCTAAAGAGGTGAGCTTATAACGATGCTGGGGTGGCTTATATAGGGAGGGAAACGGGCGGTGCAGACAGGCGACCCCCAGTTACTTGATAGCGTACTAGGCAAGTAACTATCCAGTACGCTATCAAGTAACTAGTTACAGGCAAGTAACTATCAAGTACGCTATCAAGTACGCTATCAAGTACGCTATCAAGTAACTAGTTACAGGCAAGTAACTATCAAGTACGCTATCAAGTACGCTATCAAGTAACTAGTTACAGGCAAGTAACTATCCAGTACGCTATCAAGTAACTAGTTACAGGCAAGTAACTATCAAGTACGCTATCAAGTAACTAGTTACAGGCAAGTAACTATCCAGTACGCTATCAAGTACGCTATCAAGTAACTAGTTACAGGCAAGTAACTATCAAGTACGCTATCAAGTAACTAGTTACAGGCAAGTAACTATCAAGTACGCTATCAAGTAACTAGTTACAGGCAAGTAACTATCCAGTACGCTATCAAGTAACTAGTTACAGACAAGTAACTATCAAGTACGCTATCAAGTACGCTATCAAGTAACTAGTTACAGGCAAGTAACTATCCAGTACGCTATCAAGTACGCTATCAAGTAACTAGTTACAGGCAAGTAACTATCAAGTACGCTATCAAGTAACTAGTTACAGGCAAGTAACTATCAAGTACGCTATCAAGTAACTAGTTACAGGCAAGTAACTATCCAGTGTGCTATCAAGTACGCTATCAAGAAACTAGTTACAGGCAAGTAACTATCAAGTACGCTATCAAGTAACTAGTTACAGGCAAGTAACTATCAAGTACGCTATCAAGTACGCTATCAAGTAACTAGTTACAGGCAAGTAACTATCCAGTACGCTATCAAGTACGCTATCAAGTAACTAGTTACAGGCAAGTAACTATCAAGTACGCTATCAAGTACGCTATCAAGTACGCTATCAAGTAACTAGTTACAGGCAAGTAACTATCCAGTACGCTATCAAGTAACTAGTTACAGGCAAGTAACTATCAAGTACGCTATCAAGTACGCTATCAAGTAACTAGTTACAGGCAAGTAACTATCCAGTACGCTATCAAGTAACTAGTTACAGGCAAGTAACTATCAAGTACGCTATCAAGTACGCTATCAAGTAACTAGTTACAGGCAAGTAACTATCCAGTACGCTATCAAGTACGCTATCAAGTAACTAGTTACAGGCAAGTAACTATCCAGTATGCTATCAAGTACGCTATCAAGTAACTAGTTACAGGCAAGTAACTATCAAGTACGCTATCAAGTAACTATCAAGTACGCTATCAAGTAACTATCAAGTACGCAATCAAGTACGCTATCAAGTAACTATCAAGTACGCTATCAAGTACGCTATCAAGTAACTATCAAGTACGCTATCAAGTACGTTATCAAGTAACTAGTTACAGGCAAGTAACTAGTTGATAAAGGGAGGGAAACTGGCGGTGCAGTTCTGTGTGGTTGAGTGTAGGCTGCTGGACAAATGGGAGTGGTGCGACGCACAGTGCAAAACCCGAAATTAGATGTACGCCGTCATCACACTATCGGTGTGGTTGAGTGTAGGCTGCTGGAATAATGGTGAGGTGGAGAGTGGGGTGAGCTTGGGATGTGGGGTTCGAGGGTGGAGAAAGTAAAATAACAGAGCCGATCAATTTATCTGAATTGTTTATATGGTTCAGGTTTTAAATTCTTATGTCTTCTTGCATCTCATTTTGGTCTATTTTTTTCTTATCGTTTTGTGCCTTCCTCATACCTTTTTTTTTTCTGTATGTATGCATCCATGTGCTTGTGCATGTGCTTGTGCATGTGTGTGTGTTTGTATGTGTTCGTGAGAGCAGCTAACGCGAACGTGCTACGAGTTCTACAACAGCACTCCGTCCAAGCTGGCTGGCGAGGACTACAACTTCCACTCTGATGTGAGCAAATATTGTTGTGGTTAGATAGGCAGTGGAGGCCTGATAAGGACCCCATGTAGTGCGACTGGGGGTGGAGCATTGGGAGCTTCCCCTTGCTGCTCCCAAGGACCCAAGAGCCCTTTTTTTGCTCGATTTGCTTTCGTTTTTTGCTGATAAGGACCCCATGTAGTTGTTGTTTTCGTTTTTTATGTTTACCGGATTGTGCTTTTCCCACAGGGACCCCATCTGCAAGGCCGAGTGTACAACATCTTGCGACCAGAGGCAGTGGAGGCGATCTGGTACTCGTGGCGGGCCACCAAGGACCCCGTGTACCGCGAGTGGGGGTGGAAGATCTGGCAGGCGTTTGAGAAGCACTGCCGCGTGGAGGCAGGCTATGCCGGCCTCGAGGATGTGAGTGCTTATTCACTTAGAGATATTGGAGCTTATAAAGGGTATAGGGATACAGGGGGCTTGGTTAGGAAGGGTGGAGGATCTGGCAGGCGTTTGAGAAGCACTGCCGCGTGGAAGCAGGCTACGTGGGCTTAGAAGATGTGAGTGCTTATCTCTTGGGAAGGGTTCAGGAGGCTTGGGTCACGCTTGGGCATGTAAGGTTGTAAAGAGGTTCAGGAGGGTTCAGGCGGCGTGGTTATGAGGGGTGGAAGATCTGGCAGGCGTGAAGGACGCCTCACGCCTGACGTTATGAGGCAGGCGCTCAAGTAGCACTGACGCATGGAGGCTGGATACGTGGGGCTCGAGGATGTGCTTGGTTTGTTCATAGCGGGTCCCTCTCAGGCATCAGAGCTTGTTAAGGGTATGGAGGTCCAATAGGCTTGGTGGCTGGGAGGGGTGGAAGATCTGACAGGCAGGCGTTCGAGAAGCACTGACGCATGGAGGCTGGATACGTGGGGCTTGAGGATGTGAGTGCTCGGTTCCTTTATAGTAGTGGGCCCCTCTCAGGCAACAGAGCTTATAGAGGGGTATAGGGGTTCAGATGGCTTGTGGTTAGGAGGGGTGGCAGATCTTGCAGGTGTTCGAGAAGCACTGACGCATGGAGGCTGGATACGTGGGGCTCGAGGATGTGAGTGCTCGGTTCCTTTTTAGTAGGTGGTCACTGAGTCACTCTCGGGCATTGGAGTTTATAAAGAGTACATGCAGTGGTTACGGGGGCTTGGATAGGAGGGGTGGAAGATCTGGCAGGCGTTTGAGAGGCACTGCCGTGTGGAGGCCGGGTCTTGCGCTGGAAGATTTGCGTGTGTAGTTGTTTGTAGTGGGTTGGGCATTTGAGCTTATAAAGGGTGTATTTAGGGGGTTAAGGAGGCCTGGTTAAGTGCCTCCACCTGCTCTTCTTGGCTCGCCATGCTAAAATACCAAATGTCTTATTTCCTCACCTTCCACCTCTCCTCACCCCTCATCACCGCACTCCGACCCGCTTCACCCCACGTCACCCATCTCCACCCCTTTCCACCACTCTACCAGGCGGGGAGGGACCTCCCTCAGCAGGACTACACGCAGCAGAGCTTCTTCGTGGCAGAGACGCTCAAGTACTTCTACCTGCTCTTTTCCCCTTAGCAGATGTCTCATTTCCCCCACCCTCCACCCTTCTCCACCCCTCCTCACCCTACTCCACCTCGCCCCACCCCTCTCCACTGCAGGCGGGGAGAAACCCTCCTCCGCAGGACAACATGCAGCAGAGCTTCTTTTTAGCAGAGACGCTCAAGTACCTCTACCTGCTATTCTCACCGGACGATACATTGAATCTGGACAAGTGGGTGATTAACACTGAGGCACACCCGCTCAAGATCACTCCTCGTCACACTGACTTTGTCCCTGCTGGTGCTGCTGGTGCTGCTTCTGGTGGCGGTGCTGCTGATGTTGCTGCTGGTGCTGCTTCTGGTGGCGGCGCTGCTGATGTTGCTGCTGGTGGTACCGTGGCTGATGCTGCAGCTGGTGGTGGCCGTGGCAGTGCGATAAAAAAGGTGACTGATGGAGCAGCAGCAGCAGGGGTAAACGTAGAGGTAGACGATGCAGGGGACGATGTTGCTTTGGATGAAGCTGCTTTAAATGACGCCGATGCTGCTGCGGCTGCTCTTGCTGATGTGGCTGACACTGCTGCTGCAGCTGGTGGTGTTGGTGCTGCTGGTGCCGGTGCTGGTGGTTCTGGCTCTGCTGGCGGTGCTGCTGATGGTGCTCGTGAAGGGAGAGGGGAATCAGGGTTGGGAGGAGGAGAAGTAAAGCAACGGATTGAGACGAAGCTGGATGGCGGTGCAGATTCTGCTGCAGGGCTGGATGCTGCTCAAAGATAGGGTATGATTATGAGTCGGCTAGCGAGAATAAGCCAAGCAACAGATTGACGCAAAGGAGGATGTTGGTGCAGATTCGCTGCAGGCCTGGATGGTGCCCAGAGATTGGCACGGTTTTTCTGATTTAAGTCAAGCAATGGACTGAGGCTAAGGGCTCAAAGATACAGTAAGGCTATGTGTCTCCTGATTATTCGGCCCGAAGGAAAAGAGACTGCGGATTTTGGAATTTTGCTGGTGGATTTGAGCTGCCAACTGTCTTGAAGATTCCTGTATTGCTGAGTTTTGGGTGGAGGATAGAAGGTAGTGTAAGAAGTATATGTCTAGTTGTTTAACAAATATGATTCAGGATTACAGCACTACCGTACACCTAGTCGACGTACTCAGTAGACCAGATAATCATGAATCTCCCCTTAACCTTGCAGCTGAAATCAAGAGCCCTTGCCCCTCCACCTAGTCACACAGACTGGTGTGTGATCCATAACAACTCTAAGCTTGTGCTAAGCTACACTATAATACCCGACCATACGCTCTGCTGCTCATAAACGTAGCTCCAAATCTCGCCCATAATCCCAAGTTTCGTAGGCCTCGCACCAACTCCCCGCTGTGGGGATTGCTGCTAGTCTCACTTCCCTAGGAGGAGCTAGAGGCGGCTCGCACCCACCCCCCGCCGTGATGCATGGACCAGAGTACATCCGAAAGCGGTTGAAACAGGTCTGGAATTGATTCAGAGAGGTTAAACAAGATTCGACGTTTACCGGTACGTCGGAAGGGTTGCGTAGAAACATTATAATGAAGTATATTATACTTATAGAAGCAATTTACAAAGATTATGGAAGAAAATATATTTTCTAGATGTTTCTTCCCTCGAAATTGTTTTGAGTGTTAATTGACATGGTACAGTTTTTTGTGATTGGAATATAATGGAATTTTTTTTACCTATAGCTATTGTTCTATCGGGTTACCATAGCGGGTTTTTATGTTTGCAACTACTGTACCGTTTCTGATGTGTCAGCTAGTTGGATGGCGTGGCGCGCATGTGTTTCCACGTACCGTAACACTAGCTTCGAAGTCTAGTGTGAGCGTTTTTTTGCCAAGTGCCCAGGTTTTGTTTAAAACCGGAGTCCCAAACAGCCCCAAAGTGCCTCAAGCTTCCTAACTTTGAAAGGGTGTTACCCTGTTGCAGCTCAGTCCCACTGAATCACTAGGCCCTGCCTGTTTTCAAAAGTTCGTCAACCGAAATCACTGTTGGCGCGACACCCGAAACCACCAGAAGCTATCGCACAACAATCAAACAACTGTAGCAGCGACCCTCGCACTCACCTGAAACAATCGCACATGCACCAAAAGCAGGAAGCCTGAATTCAGCGGGGAACAACTTGGGACTTCGAACGCTCAATCGAGCTGCGATTAGAAGCTAATACGCCATATCCTAAGTCCCTTGCCATCTTAGTCAACACATTGATAACGCCAGCTCTTTTACGACTCCGCAACGGGAAGGGACCCGTTGGTTGTAGGGTTAGTTTCCGGAATATTAGGCTATAGCCCACATCCTGGCGCAGCAAATGTGGCATCTCCACTCCACAGAAACGACCTGATTGCTAAAAAGCCCGCACCTTTCACGCATGGCTAGGAAGTGACGGCCTTCAGAGCCAGCAAAAGATAGGGTTTGTGCAGGCCTACACGCGCCGCGTAATCACACTCCGCGTCGACCAGGGTAGAGCTCCACCTTTCAAGACCTCAGCCCACGTTTCTGCGCGCATAAGCCGGTATAATCTTCTCCCATCCTTCTCACAGTCCCTGCGCGCCGCCCTCCCTATTCCTCCGCGTCGCCATGCCATTCCAGGTCTGCGTCACCCTCATACTTCCTTCTCCAACGCCCAGACATGCCCACACAGTGCGCCCAGACATTCCGTTCCGCAGCGCCCGGATATTCCTTTCCGCAGCGCCAGGACAGGAGGAGTCCCTTCTCAATCGCGCGCACAATCCCATCACAATCGCCCAAACACTCTCCTCCCAAGCGCCCGCACATGCCCCCCTCCTGCGCGCGCACGTTCCCTTCCCCATCGCGCGCACGTTCCCTTCACTAGCGCGCGCAACTGCACTCCGCCCGCACGCAAACATTCCCTTCCCCAGAGCGCGCACATTCCCTTCCCACCGCGAGCAATTCCCCTTCCCCGGCGCGCGCACATCCCCTTCCCCCCGAGGCGTGCACATCCCCCTCCCCACGCGCGCACATCCCCTTCCCCACGCGCGCACATCCTCTTCCCCACGCGCGCACATTCCCTTCCCCAAGTGCGCACATTCCCTTCCCCACGAAGGCACACTTCCTTCCCCACGCACGCACATTCCCTTCCCCACGCACGCACATTCCCTTCCCCACGCGCGCACATTCCCTTCCCCACGCGCGCACATTCCCTTCCCCACGCGCGCACATTCCCTTCCCCACGCGCGCACATTCCCTGTTGTCAGCCCGCCCACCTTCCCTTCCCCAGCATCCTGCAACTCCCCTTCACGCATTGCGCTTCCCGCTGCTCTCTCTCTTTCCCCCTTGATTCGCCCCATGTCCCGGCTGCTCTCTCTCTCTTTCCCCCTTGATTCGCCCCATGTCCCCGCTGCTCTCTCTCTTTCCCCCTTGATTCGCCCCATGTCCCCGCTGCTCTCTCTCTTTCCCCCTTGATTCGCCCCATGTTCCCACTGTTCTCTCTCTTTCCCCCTTGATTCACCCCATATCCCCGCTGCTCTCTCTCTTTCCCCCTTGATTCACCCCATGTCCCCGCTGCTCTCTCTCTTTCCCCCCTTGATTCACCCCATGTCCCCGCTGCTCTCTCTCTTTCCCCCTTGATTCACCCCATGTCCCCGCTGCTCTCTCTCTGTCCCCCTTGATTCACCCCATTTCAGGGCTGCTCTCTCTCTGTCCCCCTTGATTCACCCCATTTCAGGGCTGCACTCTCTCTGTCCCCCTTGATTCAACCCATTTCAGGGCTGCTCTCTCTCTGTCCCCCTTGATTCACCCCATTTAAGGGCCGCTCTCTCTCTGTCCCTCTTGATTCACCCCATTTCAGGGCTGCTCTCTCTCTGTCCCCCTTGATTCAACCCATTTCAGGGCTGCTCTCTCTCTGTCCCCCTTGATTCACCCCATTTCAGGGCTGCTCTCTCTCTCTATCCCCCTTGATTCACCCCATTTCAGGGCTGCTCTCTCTCTCTGTCCCCCTTGATTCACCCCATTTCCCGGCTGCTCTCTCTCTGTCCCCCTTGATTCACCCCATTTCCCGGCTGCTCTCTCTCTGTCCCCCTTGATTTACCCCATTTCAGGGCTGCTCTCTCACTGTCCCCCTTGATTCACCCCATTTCAGGGCTGCTCTCTTTCTGTCCCCCTTGATTCACCCCATTTCCCGAATGCTCTCTCTCTCTGTCCCCCTTGATTCACCCCATTTCAGGGCTGCTCTCTCTCTGTCCCCCTTGATTCACCCCATTTCCCGCTGCTGATAGTCGTAGGGAAGGAGGGCTAAGCACGCAAGCGTGATGGCACAACTCGTTGGTCGCATCGCGAAGAAGCATAGGACCCCCCAGCATCCAATATCAAGGCATATGCAAGAGCCGATTGCTCTCTTGCGAAGCGGAGCTACAATCATTTTCGGTGGGAAACGAGAAGCCTCGTGCGGGGACTTGTTCTACCTTTACACGCTGGCTGCGCCACACCTCACGAACAGACTTATGGCTGTGGCAGCAAAGAACGGTGAGTTCTGTGGCTAAGAGTGAGCGCATATCGATATTCCCCATCTAAGAGTGCGACGCTAGACAAAGTGTTCTGTTGCACATGAGTCCAATGTGAGACGACGAGGCCGCCTTTCCTAACAATGAGCTGCATTGTGACGTAATTCTGTTTGCCCCACCTGCACGACTCCCAGGAATGGACGGCAAAACAGCTGCGTCGATTGCACGCATGCGTCTGGCGGCACACGGTCAGGCGCTCCCGTACCATGATAAGGATGCCGTCGGGAATGTGGCAGAGCTTGTATCTAAGCCACCACAGCGGATAGAATCGATGACGTATGGGTTTGCACCATGCTTCATCAACACCGACGCAAAGATACAAGTGCCTGGGAAGTTCAACCACGGGGGAGCTCGCTGTGGGCCCAAGTACGAGGCACTGAAGAATTCGGGTGAGAACAGCTACTCTAAAGGTTGCCCAATGCGGTGTCGTCTACGATTGCATGTCACGGTGCAAATTTGCCATGTGGTCTTGGGTGTGTCAATGTCGGGGCGCAAATGATTTGCGGTTGGTTCAATTCACAACAATTGTGTAGCAATTTTTCACCCTTGTTCTGGGCAGGAGGGCAGCGCGACGGACCGCTCGCAAGTGAGGATGGGCTGGGAGTGGCAGCACCTGCGGAGGAGACGGTTTTTGAGCTCGCCGAGGACCTGCTGCCCATCCCTGAGTGTGATGCCGATCTGATGGAAGACCTGCCCCCAACCGACCACCGCGATCAGTGTGACGGGCTAGAGGAAGGGCTGGGGGGGCAGCAAGGCCATGGGGTCGGAACGTCCTTGGGGGGTGGAATTGTTTGGAAAGAAGGCACTGGGATGGGAACAAGGCTGGAGGAAGTGGGAGCAGAGTCGGAAGGGGTTAGGGTAGGAGCAATGCTGGAGGAAGGGGTGAGGGGGAGGGGATGCGCTGGGGCGGGAATAACCCAGGAGGTAGGGGTGGGGGGACAAGATCAGGATCTGGACGAAACATCATGTGAAGACAGGGTGGGGGGACGGGGGGGGGGCTCAGGTCCAGGGCATAGGGGTGGGGGTTGGGAGTGGAGGGCAAGAAGGCATTGGGATGAGAACAGGGCTAGGAGAAGGGGGAAGTGGGCCAGAAGAGGTGGGGGTCGGATCGGTACTGGAGGAAGGGGGGCGGGGGGGAGAATGCCCTGGGATGGGAACGTCCTTGGAGGTAGGGGTGGGGGTAGGAAAGGGAGGTCAAGAAAGCGCTGGGATGAGAACAGGGCTGGGAGAAGGGGGAACTGGGCCGGAAGAGGTGGGGGTCGGATCGGTACTGGAGGAAGGGGGGCGGGGGGGAGAATGCCCTGGGATGGGAACGTCCTTGGAGGTAGGGGTGGGGGTAGGAATGGGAGGTCAAGAAAGCGCTGGGATGAGAACAGGGCTAGGAGAAGGGGTTGGAGTGCCGGAAGGGAACGTTGTGGCCGGAACAGCACTGGAGGAAGGCGATGGGGTTGAGGGTCTTCTACAGGAGCCTCCAACTGACGAGGGGGTTTGGTTGCACGAGCTCGAGGAGGGGTGTCCTCAGGCCAGGTATGTCGAACGTGTTGCAACACACCTAAGCCCACGCTTAAATGTTTGAGAATGTGGCACTCCATGCGCATGAGTGCGGGGTGTGTATGTAAACCCTCCACCGTCAATACTAGAGTTATATTGGTCTCTATGTGTGGGTTGAGAGGCTTGCATTCTATGCCCATAACATAAAAGTCATATGTTGATTGGATTGCATTGTCCATCATATTGTATTATATGTTCTTTCGTTTCAACTCTTGTGGGTTTTTTACAGGGCGCATGTGACAATGAGAGCCCCACCTGGGTGGCCTGAATTGTGAGAGTACGACGGCTTATGCCAGCTATGCTTGCTTGCCTCTACTTTATCATGCTATTTCTAGCATAGGATAATCATATGCATGCATGAATTGCTTGATTTCCTAGGCTAGGTGCTTTCCTATATTTTATTATAGTTATAGCACCGAGCTAGGTTGCGTGCACCGAATTCTGGCTTTTCGGTTGCCACCGAATTGCCTTCTACCGAATTCGGTAAGGATCTGTTCGGGACGCTTCGCGACCCGCGGAACCTTCGCGTAACACCTGGTTACGGGGCCTTGTGTCGAGCCTATATATAGCCTCGTGTTGTACCCAGGTAATTATTCAATTCAATTTGAATCATCTTTTCTGAGCTCGATCCCAGATCCTCACACTTGGTAATCAGAGCGGGTTTACACGCGAGGTCTTCAACCGCTTAGTTCCGGCCTTTAAAAACCGCGGGGGCGACGACGAAAGCGCCGATACGGGTATGTAAAACCAGTTCCGCGCAATTTTTCTAAGTCCCCCTCGATTCGGTTTTCGAACACCCCTCAGATTTACTGGTGGAAAGGTTGGAGTTTCGACCGTTCGATCGAGTTTCATCTCAACGGTCCAGAGAATTTCGCCCAAACAAGTTGGAATTTGGAGCGTCGGATCGATTTTCTCCTCAACGGCCAAGATCGGACGCGAGTTTCGCTTAAGGGAGATTTACGCAACCTACAGAATTCGCACTCGTGGATTCTACAGTCAATTTGACTCGCAGTAAGTCGACCAGCACCTAGAATTCTATTATTTTCGTCGCGCATCTTCCTGTAAATCGCCGAATGGAGGGAAAAGGAGATATTTCAGAACAGAAAATCGCGGAGTTACGTGCTGAGCATAAGCAAATACATGCAGCGCTCCCACGACTCGAAAAACTCCTTGCGAACCAGTCGGCAACCGCCACAGCAGCAGCGACAACAGTAGCAGCAGCAGCAGCGGCTACACCGACAATTCTACATGCGACAACGGCAGCAGCTACAGTTAACCTTGAAGCAGTGAAGCTGAGGCTACCGGAGGCGTTCGATCCTACAGTAAAAAGGAACGACGTTCGTCGATTTGTAGCTGAACTCGAAATTTACTTCGAAGCCGTTAGATGCACGACCCCGACAAAAGACGCAATGCGCATACGGCTCGCAGCAACACTGTTACGAAACCCAGCTCTAGAGTGGATCAAAAACAGAATAGTCCAAGGCGAGGGGACGTGGGCGCAGGTTCCGGCAGCACTGATCGAACAGTTTGACACGTTGAACAGTAGCTACTACGGAACACGACGCAACAAGCCAACTAGTGGCATGGGGCGATTGGCACCACCCACGACTGCCGACCCGATGGAGAACGACGAGGGCGATGTGGAGCAGCGGCTAGCAAATAATGAGACGTGCAAATTTTGCGGCGCTACTGGACATCGTATCTTGGCGTGTTGGAAAATGGAGAGAAGGTGTGCGAAGCTGAAGGACAAGAACAGTGCGGCACCCCCGAAGCAGAAAATGGACAACATGGCAACTTCGGAGAGGGCGAAAAAAGGAGAATATGGTGGCGCAAATTTAAAACGTCACGACCAGCCGGCACCAGGGGAAATCGCCGAGACTAATGGAGGATCCGCGAAACAAGACCCTGCACCGACCGGGAAACTCCAGCCGTATACCCCGACAAGTAAGAATATTACTTCTCGTGGGTTTCAAGCCTTTATTAAGGGAGAGTCAGAAATTAAACCGGTACCGGGTATTATGGGGACCCTACTCCAGAGCGCTAATACGGGTCGAGCGTTCCGAGGAGTTAATATTCTCTCCCAGCAGCACTGTTTAAAGGCTCCCTGTTCCCCACAGATGAAGCCTACACAGCTGCAAAGGCTTAGTGGAAGGTTCCAGGCCCAAGAGAAGCCGAATCGGTCTCGGATAAATCCTTCTAACCTTTCTCAGTTGAAAACTGATACTGAAGCTGCATCTTTGAGCGCAGGACCTAGGGATAACATATTCGACGTACCCTACGATCCTATAAGCGATACCATCTACGGATACTCGGAGCAGCAGCAACCACTAGTACTCGAGGTGATCTGCAACGGGCGTCGCCTCCAGGCCCTGGTGGATAGTGGTGCGTCCCACTCGGTGTGCAACCGCGGGACGTTGGAGAAAATTGGAGAATCCTAAGAAGAAACCCAGTTTACAGCAACGATGGTGGACGGTACGAAGCTTCCCATCCACGGAAAGTCAACACTGTAGCTGCAGATAGGGGCGTTGAGGTGGAAGCCGACGTTGCCGATCACGAACATCAAGGGATTAGATTTTATCTTGGGGCAAGATTTCCTGAAGCAGTTCAACCCCGAGATCGATTGGGTCAACAGCAAGGTGTGCATCTACAACAACGGGAAACGAGTGGAGCTGCGAAGCTTGACGGATACAGGGAGCGTTCCTGAAACGACACTGGCACGGTTCGAACGGACAGTGAACGAGAGTAACACGGGTTACTTAGCACTAGTTATAGCAGCAGAAGAGGAGGAGGTCTTGGAGCAGTACAAGGATATAATGCCCGACGACCTACCCACAAGCGTACCTCCAGCACGCACCCACGAGCACGAGATCGTGGAGGAACCAGGTGCGAAACCCGTCTCACGTGCACCATACCGACTGAGTCCGACTGAACTGACAGACATGAAAAACAGATAGAGTATCTACTAGACAGACAACTGATCCGCCCATCCACCTCTCCCTACGGTGCACCAGTTCTCTTCACTCCAAAGCCAGACGGTAGTTTACGAATGTGCATCGACTACAGCGCACTGAACAAACAGACAGTCAAAAACAAATATCCCATACCGCGCATAGACGACCTACTCGATCAACTGCGTGGAGCAACAGTATTTTCGAAACTGGACCTACGATCGGGCTACTGGAAGATCAAGATGGCAGACAACTCCGTCCACAAGATAGCGTTCCGTACCAGATACGGCTCCTACGAATACTTGGTGATGTCGTTCGGACTCTGCAACGCACCAGCAACGTTTCAGGCGGAGATGAATCACATCTTACGACCCCTGCTGGACGAGTGCGTGGTGGTGTACCTGGACGACATTCTCATCTACTCCAAGAACATGAAGGAGCACGTGGAGCATCTGCGGAAGGTGTTCGAGATCCTGCGGAAAAACAAGTTCTACGTGAAGCTGACAAAGAGCGACTTCGCCCTGAAGAAGGTGCAGTTTCTCGGGCACATGGTGAGTGCCGAGGGCGTACACGTGGACCCACGGAAGATCGAAGCCGTCAAGAAGTGGAAAGTACCAGAGAACGTGAAGGAGTTACAGCAGTTCCTAGGCTTCGCCAACTACTACAACAGGTTCGTGCCGCAGTACGCTAAGATAGCAGCGCCACTGACCGACCTACTGAAAAAGGATACGCCCTACAAATGGGATACCCTTCATCAGCAAGCCATGGAGCAGCTACAGACAGCACTGACTACAGCGCCAGTACTCATCTTGCCTGATCCAGACAAGGACTACGTGGTGGAAGCAGACGCTAGTGACCAAGCAGTTGGAGCAGTACTGATGCAGGATCACGGACGCGGTTTGCAGCCCATCGCCTACCTCAGTAAGAAGCTACACGGAGCCGAACTAAACTACCCCATTCACGACAAGGAAGCCTTAGCGATAGTCATAGCCTTCAAGGCGTGGAGGTGTTACCTAGAGGGAGCCAAGACTACAGTCTATACTGACCACTGCAGTCTCAAATACCTGAAGTCACAGCCGACACTCTCACGACGACAGGTGCGGTGGGTGGACTTCCTGGAAACTCACTTCCACTACGACATCGTCTACAAGCCCGGGCTACACAACAAGGCAGACGCGTTGAGCCGCCCCGAACATGTAGCAGGCATCCAGCTCAACGGGATGAACCCTCTGCTCAAGGGTCTATTCCAACATGGGTACTCCGTGGACGCAGAGATTGCTACAGCACAGACCAAGAAGCTATTACAGTGGGAGAAAGACTTGGCTGTAAGGAAGGGTTCAGGAAAGATTTGGGTACCGAATTACGCCCCACTACGGCAGATCCTGTTGGAGGAGTTTCACGACGTACCTTACGCGGGACATTTCGGGAGCAACAAGACGTTAGCAGGGATAGCGAAGTATTACTACTGGTCCGAGATGGCAGCAGACGTGCAGCAGTTCGTCACCTCTTGCGACACGTGCCAGCGGATGAAGAGTAGCAAGCAGAAAAAAGCAGGGTTACTTCAGCCTCTACCCGTACCGGAGCAGCCATGGCAGGTCGTTAGCCTCGACTTCATCACAGCACTTCCTTCGACCTCACGGGGACATGATTCCATCCTCGTGGTGATCGATAAGTTCTCCAAAATGGGTCACTTCATACCGACCAACGCCACTGCTACAGCTGAAGCAGCTGTTCGACTCTTCTTCGACCGCATCATCACCATCCACGGCATCCCCGCTACACTCATCTCAGACAGAGACCCCAAATTCACGAGTAAGTTCTGGAAGGAGCTCATAGGACTGTTGGGGACAAAGCTTGCAATGTCTTCAGCATACCACCCCCAGACTGACGGACAGACAGAGCGACTCAATCAAGTGGTTGAACAGTTACTGCGCACAGCTTGCAAGGACGACGTCAGCCATTGGGACACACAGTTACCAACCCTAGAGTTCGCTTACAACAACGCATCACATGCGACTACAGGGAAAACTCCTTTCTTCCTGTGTTACGGACGGGAACCACTCACACCACAGCAACC